CATTGGAGGGCGCCTCAGGACAGTGCCAGTGGCATCTTCTAGCCACTGTATCAATCTGCTGACCTGCGATTCTTTGCGTCATACAGATATCCATTTTTATGCCGAAAAACTGACTTTGCGTGGCATGCCAAGCTGGTTGGCTCAGCGAAGTGTGCTGGTTGCCTGCTTATGGGAAACTAGGCACGCTTCCATTGAGCTTCCTGAGGTTGGCGAGCTATGCACTTCGTGGCTGCATCCCCCCATGCAAAGAACGCAGTGGAAGTCGCAAATTTGCTCCTTGAGGCCGGGCGCCTGCACAAGTCACAGGTGGCTTCGCCCACAAATTCGGTCTTCACGCCGCTTGCCGCTCGTTGCTTGATTTCAAGACGTGCTTGATGGAAATCGATGTGAGGCGAGGCTGGGTAGTTGAACGGCTTCGTTGCCGTTGCTTGCCAGAATGTCCTTTGCACAATTCAAATCTTAGCTCCACGCATGCGAGCTCTGTCAAACTTGTCAGTTTTTGGGGTGGAGGAAGGGGGTTAGGGTCAGCCGTGCCAAAACATGTCCCAGGGTTTGGGAGGTAGCATTTCACAAGAACTCGTCAACTCAAAACGCGCCGGGTCCGTGCCAAAATTATAGACAGTTCCGGGCTAGGCATTTCGTCCAGACGGCTCAAGTGCGCAGAATTGTTTAGCACTTCGAACCATGGGCGAAACCCGTGCTGTTTGTGCTGATGGTGCCCGCTCAGATGGCACAGTGCAATCAGGTGGACACTTTGCAATGTGTTGGCTCTTTGTTCTTGACGGGCGCAGCCTTGCCCTTCCTCAACCAAGAATTCTGGATCGCAGCGGCTGAGCAGGCCATATGCCTGAGCACCAAGGGTCTGGGCCCCCAGGTGCGCCTGGCGTTGCGTGATCCCTACGTCTGCATTCAGCTTCAGGCTCCAAGCTGCAGGCAGCAATGTTTCCGGGCAGCAGCTTCCAGACCGTGGCAAGAGCTCCTCGGAAGTCGCACTTTTGGGAACGAAATCGTCCGGCCGCACTTCCCGGCCTTCTGGTCCGCCGCGGAGCTGGGCCTCACCGCGTCGCGCTTCAACGGGACTTGGCCCTGCATAATCCGGTCATACCTTTCTCCGGCGCCACAGTGGGTCGAACCCCCGGCGGTGGAGTTGGGCCTGAGGGCGGGCCGTCAAGAGACCGGGGTGCTGGGTGTCTACCATGACACGGGCCTGGACTTTGGAGGGGCGGTGCTTTATCGGCATGGGGCGAACACCTGGCCTCCCCTCTTCTTACGGCATTACCAGGGGGAGTGGTGCGTGGAGTTGGGCTGGTGCTATGTGAATGGCTGCTTTGGCGCGGCAGGGCCGGTTGGGCCCTGCCACTCTCCCTGGTTTGGTTGTCGCCAGGGCATCGAGGTGTGGGCGGGAAACGGAGGTTGTGGTCAGTGTGAATACAGTCGGCCCTTGGGTTTGGTGATTTGGTTTCCAGCCCAGGGCACGAGACAAACATTGTGCAGACGTTGATGCATTCCGCAGGTGATGTGCCTCAAAGATGGGGCGTGGCACATCCGAGATTGGGTCTCTTCTCATTCCGACCTTGCCCGAACTGCAGAGCAAATCTATGCTGGCTGCTGCCCCGACCTCCGGATCGTTTCTCTTATTTTTTGTTTTGAGAGTCTAATTGCAATGACTTCATAGGCTTCCTATGGGCGACCAATGGTGGCCAGTTGCGTTGGAGCTTTGATTTCTCACTCAGGATGCGTTGGTGACACTCCCGGGAGCGCACCAAGAGACTGCTGGACTGATGCGAGTGCCTCTACTTCTTGGCAACTACGCAGGCGCCGACCGCATGGGTGGCCTTTCCCGAATCTTTCTTCGACTCAACCCAGATCCATAAACGTCCACACATAGTTTCTGGTTGCCTCATTCAGTCGACTCATCAAGAGGAAGGTTCCCGACCAGTCAAGATGCTGATTGACCTTTGGGGATAAAAGGACGGGATTTACACAAGCCGGGCTTTCCTCGTCGCTGTGAGGTCTTGATTCGCGGCAGCTTGTGGTCAAAGAGGTGCATGGCCACATCGAGGAGGCGCCTCTGCAACGCCACATGCAGCTCGGCTAGAAGGCGCTGATTGGGGATCGCGCATGGGAACGCATGTCAACGTGTGCATGAACATATTGGGCAGATATGTGTGACTTGCACGGGGGGCATACCAACTGGGCGCATTTGATGCCTCTAACAGTTTCCCGATGTCAGAGACTAGCTTCCTCAGGATCCTGGTGCGCGTGCCCAAAGCCAGCTCTTCAACCGTGGCCTCGATCTTTGTGCGGATCGGGCGCTCCCTGGGGCATTTGATCCCCGTGGGCGAGCACGAGTCGGGCCTCACGAGGCGACAGTCGCGCACTGCGGTGATGCTGGCGATTAAGCACCAGCTGCCCCGGGCCTCTTGGCCCAGTTGGAAGGCCACGCTGCCCGGCGCCCTGGTGGCTGGCAGCGTCCGGCATCCCTACGCCCGCTGCCTCTCCGCGATTTATCACGCACACGTGGACAAGGCAGAGCCCCCCAGCACAGAGCAGAAGATTCGGATACTGAAATCGTCCTGCGACAGTGGCAATTTCAGCTTCGAGGCCATGTGCTGCGGCAACTTTCAGTACCAATTCTTGTCTTCCCACGTGGGTGAAAGCCTTGAAGACTTGCTGGACAGGCATGATTCTCCACCGCCATTGGCACCACATTTGGAGTGCGGCTTTTGGTGCGGTTGGGAGCCGGGAGGCCTGAAGATCCTTTTTTTTTTTGGGGGGGGGGGCAGCCGAGGACTTCTTCTTTGTCACCGAGCGCCTGGAAGACTCGTTGCTGGCGTTTCGGGCGCGGTGGAACTTGACCTTTGCCCAGCTGTTGCACGTGAAGATCAAGTCCTCCCGGCATCGCCAGTCCTGTGCCTTCCGCGGGAGCCAGAGCTACTTGCCCCAGCGGCCCCCCAGCGAGCCGCCGGTGCTGGCGGCGATTGCGGCATCCAATGCATTTGCAACATCGAACTGGGCGGATCTCCGGCTGTGGCGTGCAGCGAACTCGCGGTTGGTCACCTGGCTGAGTGTTCAATGCTGGAGGTTTGATAGTAGTACCTAGTGCATCCAGCCCTCACCCTTTAATCCCTTTCAGCTTAGCAGCACACAGGAACTGGCTGCAATCAGCTGAGGACGCGATGTTGGCTGAGCAGGACCAGGAGAAGCTAAATCGAGACAGAGCTTGGCTGCAGAAGGCACGGCTCCCAAAGTAGCATCCAGCTGTGATTGGCCTTGCTGGGCTTGGAACTGTAGCGATGCCAGTTTTTTTTTGGCCAGGGGGTCGCTGATGCCCAGCTCATGGTACTCATGTGTTTGCTGGCGGCATTGAGGTGTTAATTATGGCCAGGGATGCCTGCTACAAGCTCACGGCAGAGCTGTGTGCTTCGGCTTCGGTGGACAAAGCATGCAGATCAGGTTTGCTTGATTGTGTTTGCATGCGCAAATGCAAGAGTGTGTGTGTGTGTGGTTGTGGTTGTGGTTGTGGTTGTGGTTGTGGTTGTGTTTGTGTTTGTGTTTTTTTTTTTGTGTGTGTGTGTGTGTGTGTTTTTGTGTGTTTTTGTGTGTTTTTGTGTGTTTTTGTGTGCGTGTTTTTGTGTGTGTTTTTTCTGTTCTATGTGTGTGTGATTTTTTTTTTTTTGAGTGTGTGTGTTTTCTGTGTGTGTGTGTTTTGTGTGTGTGTGTGTTTTGTGTGTGTGTGTGTGTGTTTGTGTGTGTGTTTGTGTTTGTGTTTGTTTGTGTGTGTGTGTGTGTGTGTGTGTGTGCGGGTGTGTGTGTGTGTGTGTGTGTGTGTGTGTGTGTGTGTGTGTGTGTGTGTGTGTGTGTGTGTGTGTGTGTGTGTGTGTGTGTGTGTGTGTGTGTGTGTGTGTGTGTGTGTGTGTGTGTGTGTGTGTGTGTGTGTGTGTGTGTGTGTGTTGTGTGTGTGTGTGTGTGTGTGTGTGTGTGTGTGTGTGTGTGTGTGTGTGTTTGTGTGTGTGTGTGTGTGTGTGTGTTTGTGTGTGTGTTGTGTGTGTGTGTGTGTGTGTGTGTGTGTGTGTGTGTGTGTGTGTGTGTGTGTGTGTGTGTGTGTGTGTGTGTGTGTGTGTGTGTGTGTGTGTGTGTGTGTGTGTGTGTGTGTGTGTGTGTGTGTGTGTGTGTGTGTGTGTGTGTGTGTGTGTGTGTGTGTGTGTGTGTGTGTGTGTTTTGAATGTGTGTGTGTGTGTGTTTTTGTGTTTTTTTTGTGTCTTTTTTTTTTTTTGTGTGTGTGTTTTTGTGTGTGTGTGTGTTTGTGTTTGTGTTTGTGTGTTTGTGTGTGTGCGTGCGTGTGCGCGCGTCTGCCTGAGGGCACATGCGTGCTTGCGCAAGTACGTATGCGTGCGTGCGAGTGCAGTGCGTGTGTGTCTTACCCAGGCATCGACTGTCTTCACGAGGACGGGATGGACTAGACAGGCAGAGATCGGCATGTGCAATTGGGGAGGGGGGTCTCCGCAAGCAATTGTGCTTTGGATTTTTCTTCTCCCATGTTTGTCCTTGTTTGGGCTTGTTAGACTTGAAGTGACACCCAGTGTCCTCAGCCTCGGCCATGACCCTCCTGACAGTTGTGACAATCACTGACCGGTGCTTCATGATGGCTCTGTGCTTGAGTTGTGACAGGCTGTCACCTGAGTACCTTTTGGGACTCGTGAAGAATGGGGTATAAATGCATTATGTGCCGAATATATACTTATTGACTTATTGAGATCCATATTAGCAAGTGGCGTCTTTGCAGCCTGGTAGCAACTATTAGTGGACAACAGTGACCATTAGGAGTCGTTAAGGACAAGAGCTCTTGTCTTTCTATATATGTCTGGCCCTCGTATGGCTCCGATTCCAGTTAGAATCTGCTGTTTTGTGCAGGACATTGGCTGTGCTCAAGACTGCTTGGACCTGGTTGCTCAAAAGATTCGCGTCTTCGTCGGCGACACCTGATACGCGCTGGTGCAACGCGAACATTTCCTGACTGCGCTCCAGAGCCCCCGGCGCCGTGGAGTGCGCGGGCTCGGCAACGACGCCGCATACGGAGGCAGCGGCTAAGGAGGTCGAGGCTGCATCTCAGCTGGTCGCTCTGAGCGCTGCAAGCCACAGCCATGAGGTTCCATGGTGGTCAAGAGTTGCCGTGCGACGCGAGCGAGGCACAAGAAAAAGCAGGCCCTAACAAGCACACTGTCTACATGATGGTAGCTATCCCATAGTGCACCACTGTCTTCCTTCACGATGGTTTCCCGTTTTAGGGCTGCATGTGGGCATGCATGTCCAATCGGCAGATGGATTCTCCCTCGCAGCAAGCTTAGCATCTTGTCCCGGCCTTCCCCCAAAACATGTAGTCCACTGGAAGTTTTTTCAGGGCGCTTCCCTGGTTTGAAGGGAAACCACGGGAAATGTGCGGAAGTTGGGCATGTCGGGCAGTCTGGGCAGGCCAAAGCCGACCTCACCTTGAAGGACGCTAGTGGGGGAACTCCGCTGCACGCAGCCGCCCTCATGGGTCACATGGACATTGCTGCTGGGACCTGCGTGAGGGGATGAAGAGCTGTTGGGGGGACAGGCGTCCAGCTGTAGGAAGAAAGGTTGGCTTGTTTTGCCAGGCTTTCTACATCAATTCATGTCAGCCATTCGGGGGAAAGTTGCCGCATGTGTTGCGAGTGGACGTCGGGCTCAGTGTTTGCTATGGCGTCACATGAGGCACGGAGCAGGATCGTGTGGGCAGAGTGTTCCGTGGGGATTTGCGGGTCATGCAATGCACCGCGTGACCTTCCCTGGGAATTTGCCTAGCTGAGACTACAGTGCTGCATATGCGTACGTGCCATTGAAGCAATGTCTGCAATCGCACTTTGCGGTGGTGGTGTGCAGTCGGAGGGCTTTGTTGGCGAACACGTCTGCTCGTACGGCCTTGCGTTTCCTTGCCAGCTTCCATGGTGTGATGTTGTTGCACCCTCAGCCAGAAGCAAACAATTGGCAGTGATTTTTCGGATGACAGGGGTGCAGGGTCGAGCGGAAGTGACTCCAGCGTGGAGTTTATTTCAGCGAATTTATAAAATCCTTCTCCAAGGCTGACTCTGATTTGCTTAGGTCAGCACGCTCCTGGAGAACGGGGCTCCGCTGGAGGACGCTGTGCAGGGGTTGGGGAGCACATTTGCAGTGCTGTATCAACTGGGCATCTCCGATCATATCCGCTGCCTAACGTCCTGCTGCCATTGACAGCTTCAAATTGAGACATGGCAGTGTTTTCCGATTACTGTATGCAAGGATGCGCCGTCAACCATTGCAAGTGGTACCAAAGTGCAAGTGCCTTCTCCGTTTGAGAGCCTTTCACAATGACAAAGCTTGATCCACACTCATAAACTTGACCTCGCATACGCGCAAGCTTTTGCACGCAGCATAGCTTGCAACTTGCCGCCGGCACTGGTCTTTGGTACTTCCGGGGCGCGGCGTTGCTTGAGTCGCTGCGCGCGACCTCGCGCGCTGGATGCGCGCGCATGCGCTTGTGCCTTGGCAACCTTGATGTTCATGCCGCCCCCCAAAGTTGCCATGAATCATCATGAATCATTGGCTGCATGCTGCTCTGGTGAGCCAGGCGGCGTGTCTTTGTGGAGCAGTATTGCTGCGACCTGCGCCTTGGAAAAAACGGGAGCCGCGTTTGGTCATCTTGAGCTGATCACTTTCTTCTCTTGTTTCTATCACGGTGTGCAGGTGGAAGGCGATGTCAAAGGTGATGTTGGCTGTCGCTGAGTCATACTGCCGCAGTGACGCTTGCCCATTCGCACGAGGCGTGGGTGGTGCCCGCTTACCAGCGGCGCGGACAACACCTTCCAGGCCAGGCGCAGCAGTTCCTACAAAAGAGGAGTCTCTTGGCACGCAGTCCCCTCTGAGACTCTGCTTCGCAGAAATGCCCGACTTGCAGAGGTGGGCTGTTGCGATCCCGTGTGGCGTTGAGAACGGCGAAGCACAATCCGCAACCTGGCAAAATCAAACCTGAGCAAGACTCAAGAGGCTTGAACGTAGAGCCGGCACGCCCCTAGCCCAACCAGCAGAGAAGCCGTGGATCCCATCAGCAAAACTGAGCTGCCGGCAAAGGTACGATGTCCTTGGCCTGCAGCGAGGTTGTCCGGATGAGGAGATCAAGCCAGCTTTTCGAGCCTTCGAGGATTTTAGAACCACGCTTTTCTCATGTCTTGCAACTCGCTGAATTTCACTGCACCGTGACAGGCAGACTGTGAGTAGTGCCTGTCAGCGCTGGGCACATTGTGCCCTTGTGAATCCGCTTGAGCCGAGGACAGCTGGCGCGGGAACTGCATCCGGATGTTCCAGACACCGGCAGCGAGGACGGGGGGGGTTCAATGACAAGTCCTCTGGCCAGTCTAAAACTAGATTTAGGACTAAGTGACCTTATTTTCAACATGGATGATAGCACCCAAATGAGTCGAGGGCACTGAAAGCTATGGCACTCATCACGTGCACCGCGCCTTCTCCCCACAACCCCAGGAGAAGTTCAAGCGCCTCGTTTGGGCCGTCCGGGAGCTTTCCAGCGCCAGAGGGCAGCAGAAGTGGCTGCGAGGATCGCTCGCGAGCTGTGGGTTTCAGCCACGGAAAGCCGCGTCTTATTCGGGCGATCCGACATCCGTGCCGAGTGATTCAAGTGGCCCTTGCCAGTCAAGAAAGCTTTGGCTTCAACAGCTGCATACATTTGCGCGGTTGCATCCAGAGCTTGAGGGAGATCACGAATCATGTGATAATTGTTGTAGATACCTGGGTGTGTTTTTTTGAAGAGATTTGGGTGTTTGATGGCAAACCTGTGCAAGGCGATAGCCCTAGCTTCTCCATTGACGAGACGTCGCTGGAAAGTGAGGCGCCTGCAGTTTGGTGGCATGGTGGACGTTCAAAGAAGTGGGGAACACGTGTGAACAGGAAAAGGGCTGAAGGATGCGCACAGCAGTGCAAAGGTTGTCACCAGCATCACTAGTTGCCCTGCGAATGGTACAAAACACAAAAGAGCAAGACAATTGCAGATGATCTAAAGTCTGCAGGCAGTTCCACCGATCTGCGGGATCTGTCCTTGAGCGAGGGGGGAGAAAGAAACCAGGCAGCCACCAAACCCAGAGCAGTTTGAGCGGCGCATGCTGCTTGCTTGGCAGACAACTCACCGGGTAGCAAGTAGATGAACCATGATGAACCGCTCATTTCGCCCTCCATGGGCCATGCTTATGGGCTTTTGCATGTTGGCCCTGCGCCAGGACTTCGCATTTGACATGCAGGACTGGCCATTTGAGGAGCTCGACGATCTCCTGCGAGTGTCAGAGGAGGACTCTTGACTTCAGATGGGGCCAAATGGCTGTGGGTCAAAACCAATGGTACCAGTTTGGGCTAGGTGCACCACTCATTTTAGAACCTATTTTAGTCGGGATTTGGATGTTCACTGGGGGCACGATTTGCATTTTGACCCATGGCCATGAGTCAGAGAGCAGCGAAAGGGAAGCAAGGCAGAGATCCTAGTTGCGCCGGGAGCTCCAGATTTGTAAATCGTGCTGGTTGAAAGGTGGCTCACCCAAACAAGCGCGAGAATCCTTGGCTGAAATGTAATTCCTTTTCACAGCCATGGCTGGACTTGCCAATGTTGGGGCTCTTGCACGCGTGGGCCATGTCGGAATGTCCGAGCACCATGAACGAATCCTGCCCTGGACAGCTTGCAAGGCACGAGATGTGGGTGTCATGAAGGATGTGCACACCGCTTGGGGCGATGACGGCTTCTCGGCTCAATGTTTCGGAGCGTGAGCTTTCTCTTGAAGGCTCTAAGTTAAATCCTCGCCCGGCACCGCATATCATGGTTGTTGTTGGGAAACATTTTACATTTTTGCTTACTGTGGTTTAGTGGGAAATCCCCACTGAACTGCTAAAGTTTAATTTTTGCTCCCCTTCCAACGTCAACCAAGATATGGCATCTTGGCCTTTCTCTAAGAATCACTGAAGTGGACAGGCTTTTGGAGCCTACCAGCATCTTCACGAGAGCCAGCGTCACGGGTTGAAGGTAGGCCACAGTCCCAGCCAGAGATAGGTACAGCCACCATTTTGATTTTTTACATGGTTTTGGGTAGACCGTTTAGTACCAATGGCTGTTTCTAATTGAGTAGTTCATGAACTGGACATTTGTAGACTGAGGTTTCGTTGTGGACCCGGAGGACCATGCAGTGCTTATGCGCCAGGTCACTGCACCGCTTGTAGTTCACTCTTGAGTCACACGTGATTTGAAGCTATAAAAAAAACGCCTGGCTTTTGATGCGAGCCACAAGGTGCTTGTCGTAGGCCATCATCTTCTTGCTGGTGCTCAGTGGGGGATGTGGGAATGAACCCAGGGGTCCCCTTGAACGAAACCGCCAGTTGGATGAGTTTTGAAGGTCATTCCCTCATTCCCTGCTGAGCACCAGCAAGTCTTTGCCAGCTGTTCGCTTCAGAGTGTGCGTCCAAGATGGCAATTCTATCAAGATGGATGCGCAGGACAGGCTGGAGCAGTCCCCCGGAGCGCCAGACTTTGACTTGATACGCTTCCATAGCAGCCCGGTGAGCAACGCATGCTGAATCAGACTTTGCATGAGCGGCCAAGATTAAAGTCACTTGTGTGCAAAATGATTCAGTCAACCCACTTTGCTGGCATGGAGTTGTATGGCTCGGTAACATCACAGGAAAGGGACCGTTTGCGCTTTCCAATTTGTAGGCATAGCTGGCTGAGATCCTCCAGGAACATTAGGATTCAAGCATGTGAGTCGGGAACACTTATCATTGTTTGCTTTGAGCATCTCTGCATGGCTTACGGCTTATCTCCATGCAAGTTTCATGCTGCAAGTCGGGGGGCAGCTGAGTCGCTCAGCAGTATTCAGCACCCCTCGCTCAGGCCCGCGGACCGGCAGATGAATTTGTTTCCTGAAATCTTGTCTCACCCGCCGCCACCCCCCGCCCCCAGCCAGACCCCGCACCCCCCACCCCCGCACCCCCCACCCCTCTCCCCGAATTTTCCTGCTCATGTGCGTCTTCCAGAGATCGACATGCACAATGGGCTTGAAGCTGTGCCGCGGCTGGAGCTGTGTAAGTTCCCGCGGGCCTCGAATTCTTTAACCTCATGGGCCGGCATGACCGGTGCCCAGGATACCATGGCTGTCAGTCCCAAAAAAGGCGCCACCGGGCCATGGCTGCCATCGGCTCGCTCTGGCCTCCCGGGTTCTGCCAGGAGGCGGACCTGTCGGGATCAACGGCTCTCATGGTGGCCGCCAGGAACCGGAAGGTTCGAATCGTCAAGGCCGTGGTGAGCCGAGGGCCCAAGATCCAAGTCCGCGCTCGCGCGGCAAATTTGGTTCCCAGCGCAGCTTGAGCGTTGTGTTTGGCCGCGTCACGCGGGGAAAGGCCACTGTCTCGTGTTGGCGCCAGCCCTTTGGAGGTGCGCACAAAAGGGTTTAGCTTGCAGGGTTTGGAGGAACTCAAGCTGCAAATGGTGCGCAATTCTTATTGCGATTCACTGGTCAGTGTACCTGCGTTGTGATTCGTGGAGCAAGTTTGATAGGATTTAGTTAAAATACGGAGCGATGGTGCAATGTTTTTTTGCGGCCCACCCTCTACTTCCGGCATGCAACTTGCCGTGAGAAGCATGATGCTGCTGTCCTTTCCGGCAGCAACGGAAACCAGCCACAAGCAGAGCCTTTGCCGCTTTTAAGGCGTTTGAGGCCAATCCTCAACCGATCAAGCTGAAACGAATGTACGTTTGGCCACGGGATGCCTAGATTGGACGGTGCCGCCAGAGCGGCTCGCCATGCTCCAAGAGCCCGGAATCCTGGCCTCAACATGACAACTACAAACAAGGATATGGCTGCGGCTCAAAATTAAACAGGTGGGGCAAACCGCAGGTGTTGGTCCATGTTTCCACTTACCAGGCTTCCATTTTGGGTACCGGTTTTTTGAGCCGCAGCCATATGGGGACATGCAGTTATACCATGGTCTACTTGAGCATTCTTACTTCAGGCACAGTGCTTGCTTTGGGTGTGCAGCCTGCTTGTGGCTCGAAGGGCTGAGTTGCTGAGGGCCGAGAAGTTTGACAACAAGTTCAACATCCTCAAGAATTTGGAGCCGGTCTCGGGTTGCCCAGCCAAGCCGGTGCATCGCCATTGGCCTAGGAGTTGATTCGCGTGGTGGGGGCCAACGACCGGATGTCCGTCACGCAGTTGGTGACGGCAGGGCTGCCAAGGGGTTGGCATGTTCCCTTTGGTTTGCAGCTTGAATTCTGTCAGGTGGGCGATGGTGTTGGCACCAATCTCGCTGATATCAACTTCCAAGATGCACAGGCGGGAAACGGCCCTCTAGTGTTGCATGTATATGAGGTATGCAGCATGCTATGTGGCAGCGCTATGCTTTGCTTGCGGAGCATTTATGTTTTACTCTGTCCTGAACTGACTGGAGCCAGTAAGTGGTCACTCGGCAGGGACGTCAGGCCTCTCACATCGCCATCCTTTGCATTGGAAGCGAGGCCTGGGAAACAATGAGCAGCAAACAAATGCATGATGAGCTAGCTGGTTGAAAGTCATGGATGGCAGCTTGCATGATTTGGCTGCATGTCTAGGCTCAAATTATCATATCAAACTATCATACGTCATATGCCTCGCATGAGATCATCCCAGCCACCGCAGGAGGAAACGTGTGCCATGCAGGGGCCATAGCCGCCATAGCTTCAGATCTTGGGTGATTGATCTGGCAGTTCTCGAGGCTTCGTACGATCTTCCATCTGAAGGGCGAGGCCTTTTTTCACTTTGAGTATCCCAAGATCAAAGCTGGTGCGATGGGTAGGGAATGACCTTTCGGGTGTTGGGAATGAAATCAAGGGTCCCTTAAGGAAACCACAATCGATGGTTTATGGAGGTCATCCCCTCATTCCCTGCTGAGTACTGGAACAAAAGTCAAAGCAATGTTTCGTATTCGGGATTTTTGCGTGCGAGGTGAACGGCCAAGATTTCTCAGGGCAAACGCCACTGCACATAGCGGCGCGCCTGGGCCGTGCACCTAGAACCTGCAATGCTGCAAGGAAGCGTGCCGTGCGGAGGGCTGTCGGGGAGAAGGGGGGAAGTTCATTTTCCATGGAGAGTTTGATTATTTTTGCCACTGGAAAGACGGAAGGAGAGGGATGTCAGCTAGTGGCAGATGGCTTGTCGTGGCGGTGTTGGCAAGCACGGCATGATGACATGGGTTGTGGATCATGATCATGAGTGTAAGCAGCGATCGTTTTTTGATTGGACCCTGGCAAGGTCGAGCTGACGTTCACGTCTTAGCTCTCCTTGTGCACAGGTTGACCTAGCGCTGTTTCCGGGCAACGCCATGCGCCTGCGTCACCCAGGGAACCCTTGAAAGCACCAACATTCCTGAGGCAGCCAAGGCGCTTCTCGCAGCCAAGGCGCTGGAATTTGCGTGACTACATGCCTCCAGATGGCATGCGCAGACACTGCATTCGCAGACACGTAGCATATAAGTTATGCGGCTAAACTGTGTCCTGATGTTTTCTCCTCTCCCAGGCGCACCCAGGGCTCAAGGACAAGCAAGGTTGGAGGCTTACGTCGTAGCTCCCAGGGAAGCTTGGCTTCGCCCAAGCGGTGCTCTGAGTTGCTCAGCAGGCAGAACTCCGCTGATGGTGGCTGCTGCCGCAAATCTGGATGACACCCGAGCCCCTCCGTCGCAAGCTCGGTCCAGCGAATCCCAAGTTCCCAAGTCCCAGCCGAGCACAAGCAAAGTGTCCCACACCATCCTGCTCGAGCCATACAGGCAGCAGACGACGCCTTCACATTCATGTTGTCCCGGGTGTTTGTGGGCAGCAAATCAAATCGCTTGCCTGAAGCATGCCGAAGGGATCCTGAAAGCTCATTTGGTGTTCAAAGAAGGGGTGTAGATGCAGCACCTCTCCACTTGTAGGTGACTCGTAGGCGTAGTTCAGTGCCAACAGACGTTGGCGGCTGCTAAGCAGGTTTTTGCAGGTGAGTTAAACTTGACTGTGCTAGTGCCACGAGTGGCCATGACGGATGCCTTGCAAGCTGGCAGCCGCTTGGCAGAAGCAGGCCGCTTTGCGGAAGCCATCGCTTGTTTCGAGGCAGGGCTTTCCAAGGAGGGCGCGGTGGATGCGGAGCTGTGGGAGAGCGTGGCCCAGTGCGAGCTGCAGCGCGAGGGCTGCGCCGCATCGCTGCGGGCAGTGGCGGCCGCGCAGCAAGCAAAGCGCCTTGCGCCGACTGCGCGGCTGTCGTGCGGGGAGGCTGCGCTGACGTTGGCACGGGCGCTGCTTGGGGCCTGCCAGGTGCCTGAAGCCCTGCGCGCCTACGAGCAAGCAGAGGTGTCTGCTGATGAGCTGGCAGCTGCCCAAGCGGAACTACCCAGGTACAAACGACGCATGGAGCGTTTGCCGGAAGGTGAGCAAGGCTGGGAGGCGAGATTTCAACGCGTCACGCTGCGCGCAAAACGTCGAAGGAGGCCAAGTTGGACCAATTCAGACTGGGAAAAGCGGGGTTTGGCAGCGATGAATATTGCGGAACTGTTTGACAGCTGCAGGTCCAACATCTCACGAGTAGAAGCGAGCGAAACTGATTACCTCGATTTTGGGAGGAAGTTTCAGCAAGCATCAACACCTGCTTTGCTTCTCGGGGCCATGCGCGCATGGCCAGCTTCACAATGGACCTTGGAAGCTTTCGCTGCTGAGTTTGGGCATCAAAAGATGATCTGCGACAACCACCGCTTCGGGGTCACACTGCGCATGCGCGACTTTGTGAACTACATGAAGAAGCAGAAGGATGATGCACCCTTGTACCTTTTCGATCACTGCTTTGGTGAGTATCCATCCACCCGTGTTTTGGTTGACGATTTTGAAGTGCCAGCGGTCTTTGCTCAGGACAGCAAATGGGGGTTGATCAATACTCCCGGCCCTAAATGACCACGGGTAACTTTTCCCATGTAGTGGTGATTTTTTTAGTGGGTTTCCCCGATTGTCATCCCATGTTTTTTCCTGGGCCTTATTTTGATCGACCCCGAAAACCTCGAAAACCAATTCGGAGCTTGATTCCAGGCAGGTGCCAGGCCACTGCCATTCACCAGATTTCTAGGGGTTGATTCCCCATTCTTTTCAACCATCGTTCTTTCCAAAACCGGCCGTGTTCCCTGGGTTTCCGGAGGTTTTGTAGAAAGAAGGATCCCTGGAAAGAATGGAAAAGGAAGGTACCCTTAGAAGATCGACCTTTTAGTCACCCCTTCGCAGCCCAGAAACGCTGACGCCACGCCTTCAGCGCCAGGACCTCCTGGCGGATCTCGCGGACCTTCGGCCGCCCTACCGCTGGCTGCTGCTTGGCCCCCGCCGCTCGGGGAGCGCGTTGCACAAAGACCCGCTGGGCACCTCCGCCTGGAACGCGCTGGTCGCGGGACGGAAGCTCTGGGTGTTGTTCCCTCCGGCCACGCCGCTGGCGCTCCTGGGGAAAGCCGGAGTGGAAACACCCGACTCGGCAGCAGAGTGGTTTGTCTCCTGGTGGCAAGTTGCACGCAGAGAGCAGTGGCCAGAAGAGTTTAGACCCATCGAGTTCTTCCAAGAGCCTGGGGAGATTGTTTTTGTCCCCGCCCGATGGTGGCATGCGGTGTTGAATTTGACGGATACCATTGCTGTGACTCAGAACTTCTGCAACGAGTGGAATGTCGGAGCTTTTTGGCAATGCACAAAGTGCACCCATCCAGTCTTGGCCAGGCACTTCCAGCATGTGTTGCAAGCACGCGACCCTGCACTTTTTCGCACCGCTAGTGAGTGCCAGTCTCATACTGAAGGGGATGACCCAGCGCAGTCATACCTTCCTGACACACCGGCAGCCGGGCGGACTGAGGAGAGTATGAATGGACCAAAGTCAGGTGGTTGTGACTCTTCTGATGATGAATACCTGACCTGGATGTCCCATGCGGAAGTCAAGAGAAAGTCGCGGCACTGCGTGGATTGATGCGAACTGATAGTTGCGGTTTCCTCAAGGCAACATTGTGCAAGACAGGGTTGTTGAGTGAGTCGCCCCATTTGGTGTGGCAGACCACACAGCCACCCAACGTCCAGATCACATTTTGTTTGCCTTGGCATAGGCTCTTTGCCGATGCACTCACCTAGGCCATACAGCGGAAGGATTGTCAATCCAGGCTTTGCATGGAGCATCACCGACATCGTTCTGCGCCTTGGTTGCAAATGCCTCCGGCAGCCAGTGCCAAGAAGAGTTCTCCCTGGAGCTTTCAGGCAAATTGTCAGGTAAGCCTTCACTGAAGTGGTTTGGCAGGGCTCCTTCAAAGATACATTTTGCCCATTTGAAACATGGCTTTTTCCACCAAAATAAAGGGACACCACCATTTACAAGGTGTATTCACTGTAAGGATCCCTGTTTGGATTGGTGGTTTGGATTTGGTTTTTTTTCCCGCTCTGCGCAGGGGAAACAGCCCCCGAAACCGAATCCAAAGCGTTGGGCTCCAAAGCGGGGAGGTTCTTGGAGTCGAGGAAGTGGGATGGCCGCGGTCCTCCGCCGCCCGAGCTGCCCCTGCGACCAGAAGGGCCCCCGGAGCCGCTCCCGGAGCCTTGGGCGGAAAATGGGACGCCCGGTTCGAGTCGACTCATGGCTTCACCTTACAAGCGGAGCTCTTGGAAAGGGAATCCAGGAGGCCGAACCCCCTTCTTGCCAATGGCTTGAGGAAATTCCGAGGCACCTGTTGCGTGTGCAAAGTGCTTCCTGTTCAAAACGTGAAGCTGGTGTGTTTGAGGCCAGTCTGCTTGTCCGTTTCCGGGAGAATCACAGCTAAGGAAGACTCAGCGGCGCACAAGCGGAAGAAAATCGTTGAACAGGCCAGGTGTTGGTTTCGAGGGCCGGACAACGCTGCGAAGCTAAAGCCAGGTTTGGCAGTTTGGCGGCTGCAGTTTGTGTGCATTCCGCGCTTGGCCTACCATGTCAAATCAGAAGCGTCCATTTGACTTTAGGTGGCAGCAGCTGCCAAGGCCGGCTGGGGCGATCCTGCAAGCATCGGAGAACATCGAACAGCCAGACTTTGCCATGTGCAGAGTTCAGCTTTTCCAGTTGCATTATTTTCTTTCTTTTCTTGGCGGTTCCCAGCCATTCGGTTCCTCAGCTTTTCAGGTTTTTAGGGTTTAGTGGCTGGGTGTCCATATGTTTCCATTTGACCCGCCAAAATTTTGTCCACTTGCAGATCTGAAAACAGCCGTTGAAACGCCAGGCCGAAAAGGTGATCTATGGCTCTTCGGAGCTGGAGAATGTGAAAGCAAGTGCCTTGGCCGGTCAGCGGTAGGCCTTTGGGCCAGGCGCGCTGGTGAGGAAATTGTGGGCGTTGCAGCGGAAGAAAAAAACACGTGTGACCTGTATACAAAGGTTTGGTTGATGCAATCACGGGCAGACGCCCCAGTGACAGTTGAAATCTGAGGTTGTTATCTTTAGCCTTTTTTAAGCTGACCTGTCCTGTCTGGGCCAGCTCAGGAGCAGATGTTCTGGCATCTCTTGGCTTCGATGATCAGCATGTCTACGATGTGGATGGCCTGGTGGCACCCTGAGGAAGCCTTTTTCCAGCGAGGTTCAATAGGTTCGCTGACCACGGGACCGTCAGGGCCTGTTGTGGTTGGCTTGTTTTCAAATTCCTTCCAGTTTGGCCCAGAAGTTTTTTTTCCACATGGCTCATGTATCCCCCTCTGAACTTCCAATAGCTCTGCGTGGGGAGGGGTGTGTGTGTGTGTGGCATTTGGTATTGGTCGCTGATCCGCAGCTCAGCGGATCAAGAGCTGTACAAAGACGGCCAATCAGTTGAGTCACAAGCGTGGCACCGGCCGGCCATGAACGCGAACGTTTTGGTGACCTTGGCGCGGGTGGCGGAGCGTGCCGAGCGCTACGATGAGATGGCCAGCTACATGAAGCAACGGGTGGAGCTCGGTGGCCCGCTGGACACGGAGGAAAGCGAGCGAAAGGTCAAGGCATGCAAGCCCATGTTCATTCACTCCCTGAGTTCATGGACTCTAAACTTTTGGGAAGTGGTAAACAGTGAACTCAGGGAAGTGAGTGAACTCAGTTCATGGACTTTAGTTGTTTTGCGAACAAAAACAGGGAAGTAGTCTCCCTTACCCATTTTAGTGGAAAACAACAAGTTTGGACAGTTTTTTGGGCCCATCAACTCAGGAAGTGAGCTCAAGATGCCCAGGTTTGCCCTTCAAACATTTTGCTGGGGCTGGCTTGGTGGTCTCCCTTCCCTGTTGTTTGCACAAGTTTGCCCTCACATCATCTGGAATTGTTCGCTTCGGCTCACCTTGCGCACATGCGAGCGTGTGTTGTCATGTGTGTTTAAAATGCTGAGCTGCTATTTGTTTGTTTGGCAATTGTCAGTTTTAGGCAGGACGAGCCGTCTTGCTGCTGTTGAGCCCATGTTTGGTGCACGATTCGCCAAGGTTTGGCACATGGGGCGCGGGCTATGCTTGTACTGGTTTTCCCCTGAAGTTTTCCGGGTCGCGATGATCCAGCTCGAATTGCGAATTGCCAACACTCTTTTCGCTCACAGAGTTGTCAGAGTTCCAAATGCAGCAATCGCGATGGCCTTGCTGGAGCTTCCACACGCCTTTAAAGTCATAAACGGAACCTTGTCAAAGCTTCACGGCGGAGCCCAAGTTCCGAACCAACAGCGCAGAAGATTCGGCTGTCGCTGAGTCAACGCACCATGCTTACTCACGCCAACGCCCAGACGAACATGCGCACGCAGCAAACGAACAGTCGCGGACGAAAAAACGCCCCAGCCATGTCCATGCGCAGCACGTTATGTCCAGATCATCACCCTTCGAACAGAAAGCCTCTCAGCTCCTGCTTGGGCTTGCCAGGAGCGGGATATGTTCTCGGCAGCCTTCAAGAATTCTCTCACAGAGCGGCGCCATGCCGTCCGTGTGGCTGCAGGAGTGGAACAGATGGAGCAGGTGCGTGCGCCATTTGAAGCGGATTCAAGCTCGAAAGAAGTGTAATGTGTTGGCTGGAGGCTAAAGTAAGTGTTGTGGCACTAGCCACGTTTTTCAATAAATAGCAGTAGGAGGCCAGAGCTTGAATGAGTGTAGCGGCTGCTGTCGCTGCACGGTTGCATGGCTGACTTTATACCCCTGGCCCGCTCAGGCGGAGGGCCGTGAGGGTCACGCCTCGCTGGCGCGCGGCTACCGCTCCAAGATGGAGGAGCCGAGCGGTTGAATGGGAGAATGTGGCAAGGGCTGTAAGGTGTTGCATACGCAAAAAAGAAGAAGAAACAAAGCAATCAAACAAACAAACAAACAAACCAACCAACCAACCAACCAACGACACTAAGAAAATGTGTGTCACTTGCAAGCCGATGGACCCGCTGCCAGGCTGAACTGCAAGGCATTTGCTCAGACGCCTTGGGCTTGCTCACCTCCTTGGTGGGATCCGCGGATTCCGGGGAGGCAAAGACCTTTTTCCTCAAGATGCAGGGCGACTACTACCGCCACTTTGGCTGAAAACATTTATGGCGAGTCATCACGGTTGAGATATGGCTGTGGGTCAAAATTAGGTACCCAAAATGGAATCCTGTAAATGGAAACATGGACTACAGTCCCCTAGTTTAATTTTTACCCACACCCATATTCCCATGTTAGGCTGCTTTCCTTGTGTGCATTGGCTGGCAGGCTACCTGGCTGAATGGACCACCGGCGACTCGAAGTCCAAGATCGCCGAGCAGGCCATCGACGCCTACCAGCGCGGAATGGGGGAGGCCACGCTGCTCCCGGCGGGGCACCCGGTGCGGCTCGGCTTGGCCCTGAACTTCTCGGTCTTCCAGCATGAGGTGCTCAAGGACCGAAAGCTGCAGTCCCAAGTTGCCTCGACAGGAAGGCCCCACGCACAGAAGCATCTAAACCTTGCAGGACACGCATACCGCCATCTCAACGGCCACGGACGCCTTGAACGAAGCATCCAAGACGATCGATGAGATTCCCGAGGAGCTGAAAAACGACGCGATCATCACCATGCAGTTGCTGCATGACAACCTCACGCTGTGGAACCCTGCGTAGGTTGAGCGTGCTCAATCCAGTGAAAGGTTCCAATAGATCGAGAGAGTGCTTGCATGAAATGGCACTTTGGAGCCACGCTGTGGCGAAGACTGGCAGAAGGCGGATGAAAACTGTGCACGATGAAATGCATTTGGGTGTAGGTTGCGATTGCGATGCGCAGAAGCCTCACACCTGTGGATTCATTGAGCAAGCCTGCAAGGGATGCATCAGTCCCTCATTTTCCATCAGCTTGCCTTCAAGCCAGTCGAAGCTTAGGTGAACCAGGGCGACAGGTTGCAGCTGCACACCCAGATCCTCCTTCCAGCTACAGCCTTACTGAAGTAATTTCAGAGATAAGGGCAGACCCAGATCCTGCTTGGCAACGTTTCTTTGAGCGACTTTAAAGGCAAACTCGAGCTGCTAGCATATATATGCCAGTCCCCAGGCTGCCTACCCCCCCCCCTCAAGGATAGGGTCCTTCCCTTCCTCCACATCAATCGGAATGATGCTGGGATGCTGTCCAGCACCGTGAGCCCTGCACCGTACACCAACCCTAAACCAACCCAAAACCAACCCGAAACCAACCCTAAAGCAACCCCAACTAACCCTAAACCAACCCTGAACGAACCTTAAACCAACCCTAAACCAACCCTAAACACCCCAAACCACACCCCAACTAACCCTAAACCAGCCCTAAACCTCAATGTCAAACCAACCCCAAACCACAACCCAACCACCCAGCCACCCCACCCCACTCCCACCCCGGGGGTTCACAGCCTGGAACATACATCTCAGCTCTTTGGACGACAGCTGCCGAGACGCGATGCGAAGAGAGTTGTGGCAAGCTATTGGCATTCAGGCCGGTGATCGGACGCACGGCATTGAGGCAGGACATCGGTGCTTTTATTTAAGCATTGTTTGCGGTATAGAAAAAAGTGAGTCAGCGAGAGTTGATTTACGCTGCTCACATCCCAAGGCGTTGATGATGAAGGAGCAGGACAAGCCCAAGCTGAAGCCCGTGGAGACTTGCCCAGACGCGTGTGCGGTTGCGTGTGGCTCCTTTATCATTTTTGCAACCTTGACTGTGCTAGCCCCTGCTTCCACGCATGTCGATTTCCACTTGGCCACACCATGTTCATCCATTTTCACCATTTGGTAGTCTAGGATGCTATCATGACATTCCATATTGATTCGATTTTGGGGTTGCCAGCCTAGGAGAAACGCTGCCGGAGTTTGTGGGAAATCCTCATAGCCCCACTGCTTCAGTGTTTTGGCTGCAAGAGGACTTCTGCTTCTAGCAAGCTTTTGTCAGGCCCTGGTCCCCCCTTTGCGACTGGCTGCATTGTGTGTCGATCAGTTGAGAAGACTGGAACGGCACTTGAGCATTTACCCTTGGAAAGTCTTGTGCTTAATACGGCATTTTAGCCGTGAGGGTAGGCACCACTCCGCTGCACCCAGGTTGGCACACCTGAATCGCCTGGAGGGCAGGCAGACGCACTTGCTGGAGTATTTTTTGGCTGCCCTGCCATGTCTTAAAATCCCTGCTTGGTGGGAAACGCTCTTGCTGGAGTCAATGCTGGGGAGCTCTCGGGAAGAGAGCGAGAGAGAGATTGCACAATGCTGGCTGTTCTGCTCGTTGTGTGTGCAGACGCTGGCTGACTAATTCTCACATTGCCACTGTTGCGCTGCATTCCTTCGCCAGCAATGCCTACTGGGTCATCGTGGCCTGGTCTTCGGGGTGTTGGCGAGCATGACGCCAGCCCGGGCCATAGCACCTCAGAGAGAGAGAGAGAGGTCCTAGTGCATGGCTTGCTTTTTTTCGCCATGTTTTTGGACTTGGTGTTCGACACAGGCAGCAAGAGCAACCAGCGAAATTGACATACCTCATTCTGAGCGCTCCCGCATGCTTGCATGCATGAATGCATGCAGCCCCAGCTGCTGAAGACTGGCTCGCCACCCAGTGCATCATGCCAGCCCCTCCCCCCTGCCGATTGACAGACAATTTCGCGACAGCTGTTGGCTACTGGGTTGCAAGTCACGAATCAATCCTTCGCAGCTTGGCTTAGCATGCCTGTCTCTCCCAGCATCATTTCCCTTTCACTGGCCGAGACCAAGCGCACCAGCACGCTTCCGTCGTGGAAGGACGTGGCCAAGGCTCGCAAATCATGGGCCTTGCAGGAAGGGCAGTGTTAAAGAGTTGTTTTTTGGTCAAACTGCCACTTTGCGACAAACAACCAAAACAAATATGGCTATGGGTGAAGAATAGGTACCTGGTAAAAAGGACACAAGGACTAGAACCTGCAGTGGGTTCGTGGTTTAAGTTGGACCCATACCCATATCATTCGGAATCCTTGCTGGTGCTCAGTAGGGAATGAGGGAATGATGGCCTTTGAGCTATCCAACTGGTGGACCCCATATTAATCAACCCAGTCCATTAGTAGTGGGGGTGTCTGATTCGTGAGATGTGAAGAACCACACCACTTTTGGAGGGGACCACTCCCCTCTGAATCAGGTAGCTTGATGAAAGAAGAAGTTAAGGGTTTGGATGGCGATGGTTTTTGATTTCTGGCTTCCCTTACCAGAAACCCTTACGTCACTTCCACCGGAAACGGGTTGCACGGCGGTTGCGTGGCTGCACGTCGTGGATTGCGTCCGTCAGGTCATCGAGGGGGAGTCCTTGGAGTCGCGCTTGGAGGGCCTGCGGAAGTTGGGCTTCCGCGGGCCCAAGCCAAGGACCACCTGCTGGGCTGGCGCCGTGCCCTTCGGACCCAAAGACGAGAAAAATCCGCGCGCGAAATCGCGCGAAGGAGGCGGTTTACAGGCGGCGGTTTCAAGGGATGGGAGCGGTTGGAATGGGGTTGCCATGTTTGTCTCTCTGGAAAAAGAAGCAAAAGTGGGACTCCATCGTTGTGGACGCCGGAAAATTAGGTTGGATAGGGTGTCCTTCATTTCCCTTTCTTTACTCAGGGAAGCTCCAAGAGTGGAGCTAGAATCCCATCGTTTTAGTGGATGAACATTGAGCAACTTTTGATATGGGGAATCCAGTGACCCGTTTGATTGATGTTGGATTGGTGGAGGCCTTTCGGTCATAGTCGTTTGGATCATGGGTGGTTCTGGATGATCTTTGTGCCACTTTGAGCGCGCATGATGCATGGTCGATCCAGCCCCATGCCGTGAGGGTCGGTTCGTTGGAACTCCGCATCGCTCCGAGGTGGGTCAAGGACGAGTACCCACGCAATCCAGACTCTGCACCCTGGAAGGCTCTCACTCAGCGCAACGTCGGGTCGGCCCTTCTGAGAGTGTGTCCTGCTTGATACCTTTGGCTGTGAGCAGTTGCAGGCCTTTGAATACGTGGATCGCGAAGATGCGGAGATCCTAGGGCCACTTGGCAAAACATTCGGGACGTGCACGACTTCCTGCTTCATTCAAGGCTTCGAAGGGTTTGCAGCCTGGCTAGCTCAATTCCTCCTTGGCCCAGTGGAGGTGTACAGGCCCCTCCCACATTTGGGTATGGGTCAAAGTTGGATCGACCAGACGATTGCAGGTTTTAGTCCTGTCCATTTACCAGGGCGACCCATTTGGAGGTTACCTGATTTTGACCTGACTGAGGCAAGGCAAGCCAGGCAAGGGCGAGGCCTTTCGATTCAATCGGGTGTGGTGCCTCGAGAATCCCGAGCAGCTCGATAAAAAGGAGTGGGGCTGAGGCTCGAGCCTTTCGTTCAATTTTCCGGTGGCTCTTTGTACATCTAAGCCTACATGGTTGCCAAGCCCGGCCGTTGCTTTCCTGCTTTAGCTTTTGGAAGGCTTAGAACTCAGAACTGTTGAAGCAGCATCTTAGTTGCGTGCCCCACCTTTTGGGCGTTCAAGATCAGACAGCGCAGGAGCAAGAATGGGAGGCTGGCCTCAGAAAGCGCGCGGAACACTTCATTTGGGAGGCCGGTTCTGCAGAAGTGGTGCCCCTCTCCCCGCTCGGACCTTAGGAGTCGCCTGGCTTCAAGTGGGCCGGTGGAAGGGAGAAAGCACCCACTCCCAGCATCCATGACAAGCGCCTTGCCTGCAGTTCAAGCGTTGCAAGCCAGCTACACCTCTGCCATTGCTTCTAAAGACCTGGGAAAAAGGACTGCCTCAGTGCCATTTAAGTGCTTTGCCAGGATCCAGCTTACAAATCGGCTGTTTGTGGATGAGGCGGGCAATTGCCTGCAGCTTGCACCTGGAGGATCGCAAGCCTCGAGACGTGTGATGCCCATGTCTCGCTGCCGTGAGGCTCGAGCCTGGCGGTTGAACCTCATGTTTCCTAGGCTTAGGCATGCCAATGCGACGGACACTGGCTCCGTGTGCGCTATTTGCTGCTTTCGCTTTTGCAACTGGGTTGCCTTGGTGTCCTTGAACGGGTTCTTGAAGCAGAGTCGCATAGTCGCGCATGTCGAACAGCTGCGCCGAGGTCTTAAAGGGCTGTGAGCAGACCCAGCGCCCACCCGGCGGCGGCAACAAGGGCCGCGCTTGGCTCTTGGAGACACTTCCGGAGGAGAGAACCTGCGCCTTGCAGACGAAGCAACGCACGTTGCAAAGTGTCCAACTGTGTCCAACCATTTCCAGCCCCGGCCCACATGCACTGTAACAACTGGCAGCGGTACCAAGGAAAGAGACCACGACAAGAAACAAACACCGGAGAGCCATGAATTTTCTTGGGCATAGGCTGTGGGGTCGCTGGCTCACGAGCCAAGCACGAAGATGTTGCTAGGACACTAGCTTGGAGCTGGTTCCTGGCACCAGGCCTGGCACTTGCAATCTGCGGCTTTTGTGCTGAGGGAGTCCTTTGCTTGGGCTTGCGAGCTGATCCAAGCAATCAGATCGGAGGTACACACATGAGGCGCTGATCAGCTTCCTGGATGATGCCAAGCAAAAGGCTGGGCTTTTTTTTGTTTTTGCTTTGTACGGTTTGCGACTGTTTGCGTCTTGGCGCCCTGATGAAGGCTGTCAAGATCGGGGTGGTGCAAGTCAGCTCAAACCCAAAAAATCCGGTGTACGGTGTTTTCAGCAACGTGCGCAAACAAATCCCTCTGAACCGAGAAAGGGAAAGCTTGCTGGTTCCCAGCCATCCTCTTGTCTTAGGCTTTTGGCTTTGTTGTGCTTAGTGGTTGGATTTCCATGTTCCCCACAAGTTTAAAAAAACCTTAAGCGGATCTGCAAAGGGACAGCTGGAAAGTTTCCTCTGTTGCCCAGTGGTGCCCTTGCTTCCTTGTTTGGAAAGGCTTCCCCTTCAAACTCAACCAACAACAAACAAAAGGTGCCCCTTTTTCACATGGCCACTGGGCATCCAAGTTTCCTGCTTGCCAAAGTTGCCAGGTGAGCCACAATCAAAATCGGGGTGGATGAAGGTTGGTAAGGGGCAGTCCCAGCCAGAAATAGTTGCGGATATCCGCCTTCTTAATTCTTGAAGCATGGTTCTGGGATTCCGACCAGTTTAATACAAAGGGTTTTGAGCAAGTGACTCAGGTGGACTTCTTGCCCACATGCCAGTTTTTTTTTTCCCATGGCCACTGGGCATCTGAGCTTCCCGCTTGCCAGGTGGACTTCAGCGCCATGTACTGGCACCTGCTCAGCAGCGAGTGCTCGGCTCTGCGTGGCCGCCAGCTTTGGGAGGCCATCCGTGGCGCCGCAGCCCGCGGCGTCAAGCTCCGGGCGCTCTGCGGCACGGGGATCTCGGGTACGGAGGAGCGGGGCGGGCAGAGGAGCTGTGGTTCTTTCCCCTCAGGTTGTGGGGGAACACTTTTTGGCCTCCAAGATCCTTTCCCCCCAGTTCTTTCCCCCCAAAGTTTGTGGTTTACAGTCAGTTCTTCACCGAGAGATGGCATGGAGCTTTTTGGCCGTGAGGGGTAATGACAAGGATCAGCCTTGACGGTCTAAAACATTGCACGAAGCCTGAGCGTTGCTCCGAGCCTCCGCAAGCTAGTGAATTAGTCTGAGACTGACAGGAGCTGGAAAAGATCCAGAAGGAGTTTCCGGAGCAAGTGACGTTTCAAGTGTACAATGCCAGCAGCTGGCGTCTTGGACGTTGGGGCCATATTTTTTGGGATGTGTCCCTGCCATCAGCAAGTTTGAAGGCCCTAAGTAAGTAGCATCGTTTCCGTTTGCAGGTACTTTTTTGCAATGCAGTGCGTAACTTGGAAGTAGTCCCATGCAAGGTACGGCTCTGGCATCATGCACATGAAGCTCTGGATTTTTGACGACTACCGTACCGTTATTACAAGTGCGAACATGGACTGCGAGTCGCTGTCCCAAGTCAAGGAACTAGGAGTGGCACTTGAGGGCCGTTCAGGCTTCTCCGTGGTTGAGGCTGGGCATGCGTGAACATGGCAGAGAGCGAGTGAGAGAGAGAGAGAGCGAGAGAGAGGCAAGGGGCTAAGGGATGCTAAGGGACTGAGGGCCTGAGGCCTCTGAAATACCAAGTACCGGCGCAGGATGTGCAGCGTTACTTCGATCGCTGGTGGGCATGGACGAACCCATCTTTGGAAGACTCCCTGAAACACCCAACCATGTCAGTCTTTGACCCGGTAATTCAGCGGCAGCGGACGGTGCCGTGCTGGCTAAAGGTCAAGGCCGGCGAACCCAAATGCTTGGACCCGTTGCCTGACTCGACCAAGACAAGTTACAGCAGACAGCAGCCAATGCGTTTGATTCTTAATGGGTCGAGCGCCCATAGCTACATCACTTGCAGCCCTGCAGCGGTTTGCGACGTGCCTGTGGAGTTATATTCTCACTATGTCGCAGGGGTTGGGGGGCGCACCTGGGACGCAGACGCCTTGGTGCAGACCATTTTCTCTGCGCGGCGCTTTGTGGCGATCTCCGTCATGGACTTCATGCCCATTGCCGTCTATGGGGCCCCTGGCGCCTGGTGGCCGGTCCTGAACGACGCGCTGCTGGCGAAGCTGTCGCAGGGCCTGGAGGTGAGGCTTCTGATCAGCCGATGGGCGCATACCGCGAAAGAGATGGAAGGGGCCCTGCAGAATTTGAACGCCATGGCCCAGTCCATGGGGGGATCCTTCCAGCTCCGGTATTTTGAAGTGCCAGGCTGGAATGAGACCGGGAAGCATGCACGCTATCCTCCCTTCTCAAGGGTGAATCACGCGAAGTACATTGTCACGGACAATCGCTTCAACATCGGGACTTCCAACATGGAGTGGAGCTACTTCCACACTGTTGCGGGCACATCCTTCAATTCTGATAACCCCCTGCTGAGAGCGCAGCTTGTGTCGATATTCAATCGGGATTGGAATTCTGGATATGCCAAGCCTGCCCATCTTCCTGCTCTGGCACTGCATCCTCCTGAGTCTCTGCATACCTGATCAAGAGCCTCACTTCTGGGGGGATTTGGTCCATGATGTGGATGACAATCTTTTGGAGGGGTTGGCTGAGCACGAGGCAGTCAGTGCACCGGTAAGGGGACCGGCAAACAGCGCCATGCAGCCTTCCAAAAGGAGCAAGGCTAGAGGGGTTTACGCGTGCGAAGGCCGTGCTTGACGACCGAAAAGCCCGAGAGCTTAGGGTTTGCAAAGCACGCGCCGCGTGCCAATTGTATGAGAGGGGATTTGAACGTCAAGAGAGTTGTATTCACCTGTTTCATGCTTTTTCGCCGCTTGCCCGCTCCATTTTACGCCTTTGGTTTGACAGCCTGTTTCCGCTGTTTCAGCAACTACGAGGGCCTAGCTTTGCATTTTTGGCATTCCTCATTCGATAGCGAGCTCGCGTGGCTTGGCCAGTTCCTGAAATTCGGATCGTCATGTTGCGGGCCTCCTTCTGGGGAAGTCTTGGCTGAGCCTGGGTCGCCGACTTCATGGATTAGACGAGTTGTTCCACATTTCGCTGATGCTTGTCGACAGTTTGTCAAATCAAAGCCAAGGTTTTGGGGAAGTTTAGCATGCAGAAGCTTTAATGCTCGCCCAACACCCCGGGTGCTTACAGACGCGGATGCTATGGTGAACATTTTTCTGCAGGTCATGGTTCCTTATGTTCCTGTTAGGAAGCCGTGGGTGCTCGAATTGACCATTTCCCTTCTGGTCCAACGCGCGTTTCGGAGTGGAGAGTTTGAGCGAGAGATGCGCTCGGCAGGCATTGGCCCAGCGAGTCTTGATGGAGAAACGCTTGAAGCTTGTGGGCGAGAAGCTTTTATGCAGCGCACCTGGTCGGAAGGATGCCGGATCCATATGTGTAGGATGCTCCGGTTGAGCTATTTTTGCCCCAATCAGACCGGATCGGTGTGGGATGCTCCGGTTAACATATGTTTAAAAGAGTGCTCTTTGCCGCCAGGTCCATTGCTGGTTTGGGCTGCAGACAGCCTTAAGAAGCCCAGCGTGGGGGCATGGTTGACAGGCAGCGACCCCGAGGAGCGGGCTCGGGACTGACCGAATGAAATCCAATTCCCAGTGCCCCCCGTTTTCGTAAGCACTGTTTAGAAGTCCCCCTTCGAAGTCTTGATCGAAATCTGTGTTCCCCGTTTTGAGCGTTCGTAGTCTGTTGGGACAGTCTTGATCAAACCTGATCCAGCAGGAGATCGAAGAAGCAGAGAAGCAGGCTCTGCATCGGGCAACCTGGCAAGAATGGCTTTGATGAGCATTTGCATCGCCGGTTTAGCCGTACCCAGGACATGCTACGCTATGTAGCTTCACAGGCGTGGATGTGCTTTTCCTACAAAGGACATGCATCCCGCACCCACCTTGCAATTTCAGCCCTCAGTTCATGCAAAAGCTCGGGCCCAAGTAAAGTGGCAAAGAGCCAGCTTGCCTTTGCGCCCCAGCAAACCCCAAAACAGACAAACAAAACATGGAGAGACAATATGAGCCGCTTGCAAAGCGCAGGTCGCATGCGGCGGTGTTGCGGCAAGCGCCTGGCAGAAGCCATTCCTCAAGGCTCGCAACACGTGAAGGCGTTCTTGAGTTGTGGGTTTGCAGTTCACTTGGCCAAGATGTTTGTTGTACTTGGCCATCGGGCAGAATTTGGTCAAAAAATCAGCTGGTCTGCGGCTTCAAAAAGTCCAGGTTCGCTCGTGTTGATTTTTGGGTGCGGTCAGTTCAAGAGAGTCGAACATGGTTCTTGATCAACATGCTCCTGGGACTGTCGCGAAGAAGTCCCGGGAAGGGTCTAAGTTCCGCGTCAGTGTGGGCAGAAGATTCCCCAAAGCGCGGGTAGACGCGGGTAGTCCTTCAAGTCGAAAGCAAGTTTCTGGTGGAGTGTTGCACTTTATCCTCTTATCATTATGTTGGAGAGCAGGGCAATGTGGAAGTGCGCTTTTGGTACATGTCAAGCGTGCGAGGTATTGAATCTGGCTACCTCCCGTAAAATTACATGTGGACTTACAGATTATCTCTGCATGTTTGTGCTAAACAGGATTTGCAGTCACCCTCTGCTGATATTATTGTACTTCGCATCTCTAGTTCATTGAAGCTTGTTGCACTTCATGACAGCCGACTTCGTAGACGAGGAGGCTGACATTTTGCTTTTGCTCTCGAGTTGTTTGGGTTTTCTGCCCTAAGCTGTAGTAAGCCTTGGGCGGGACAAAACACAACAGCAAGATTGCAGACCCAAGGGGGCCCTGGTGGGCGGAGCATGCGGTGTGCAATCTTGTTTTGTTTTTGGTTTCTAGAGTGTTTTTGTTTTGTTTCTGCCCCACACAACCGACCCCAAAACATGTGCAAACACGTGTGCTCTCAGGGCGCCCAGTCTCTTCTACCAAGTTTCTTTCCGTGGGCTTGCGCAAGCATGCTTTCATCCTGTGCGTTTCTATCTGCAAGCCACGGTTGTTTTTGCTTGGGGCTGACTGCCTAAGGAGGCCTAGTTGTGCCCAGTCTCGCACTCACAGCTCATGCGCAGTGCCTACGTTGACATGGGGCCTTGAATGGTTGCAGCCTGAAGCACGCCATCCCAAGCACGGCCAGGTGTGGGAGGACACCAAGGAGAAGATCGCCGAGGCCCTCTTGGCCAGCCAGGCGGAAGGCCGGCCTGGGGGATTGCTCGTTTCGGGCGGTGAGAGCACTCGGCTCGTGCCAGGTCTGCAGAACTTGACGGAGGCTCCGGAGGAGATGTTTTGGCAGAAGAGGGAGCCGGGACCCTGGCCGAGCGGAACGCCACTAGACCCCGCGACCAAACAAATCAAGGACCCACTTGAAACCTCTCTGTGTAGTGACGTACCGAACTCGAGACTCGAGCTGGAGCTGGACCCACTGATCAAGACTAAACCCTCAACCACAAACCCCACCCTAAATCAGCAACAAACTCGCCAAACAAAGAGCCCAAAGTCCACCTCGAGCCACCAGCCCAAACCAAGCCTCCCGCACTCAAGTCTTCAAGCCTGTCACTTCATCAAGCTTTCAGCCATCCACCCCCTCAGCCCATGGAAGCCCACGATAACTCCAAACCGCTCACCCCAAAGCAAGTCTGAACCTGGCCGAAGTCTAAACTCTTATCCCACCCCAAAGCAACCGTCAAGTCACTCTAAAGAAAGCATCCACCAACCCTAAGTCCCAAATATGCGCTTTGGTGTTCCGAGTTTCCGAGCTGGCATGAGCTTTCAGAGCCAGGGCGGCGGAAGAAATGCGCAAGGGTCGTCAAGATGGGTCCAGGGCCAGCACAAAACCACGGGAAACGCATGAGGCAGCATGCAGAAGTCGCTCGGGAGTAACGCAGAAGGCGCCTTTTGAGAGGAGTTTGTCCTTCAAGGCCTACATAAAGAGTTCTCCTCGAAGCTGCCCGAACAACTCTTCCAGTCGCCAAAAGCAAGCACCGAGTCGTGCTTTAGATTTCCACTGGGCACGGAAGGGCGAAAGGGCGGGAAGGGCGCGGAAGGACAGCTTTGAAAAAAGTGATTTCCAGAACCCCCCATCCAAGTCAGCCTCAATCTCCGCTGCATCCCTGCTTGACACATCTCAAATCCATATTACAAGCCTAGAACTACCCGGAATCAGAACGAAAGCCACTCAACAAACCCACCTTGGATAGAGCCGTTTACCAAGCATTTGGCACATTATCATTTCCCAAGTCCCTTGCACTGCTGTGGGCAGAGGTTTGTCAAGCTTCCGCAGGGAAAAGCAACAACAAATCAAGGAACAAACACGGGGAGGGCCTGCCTCTCTGATAGTGTCCCAAAAAACACGACAGAAGAGAACCACACCCTGGCGTTGCCCCCAAAACTCGTGTCATATGTTTCCGGAGAAAGTGGCTCCAGCTGCGTACACCGCTTTCCTGAGGACCCGCGGTGTACGGCGGTGCGCCTTTGAACCGATGAATCCCCCGGAGGATCAGGCGACGGCCAATTAATGCACGCTGGGGGCGGCTTGATATGACATTTGGCACAGCCGTTTAAAGAATGGAGTCCGCCTTTTTAATCATTGGTGTGATGAGAGGGCAGACTGAGTACACTGAAAGGAGCCAGTTTTGGCTTGTGGTTTCAAGGAAGGCATGAACACAGTGAAAGGATGTGAAAGGAGCCAATTTTTGCTGGGTCAGGCAGAGCTTCTGCCGGAGGACGAGCTCCGCTGGTTCAAGCGCAGGTGCTATGCTCATTCAACGCATTCAGGTCCAATTAGCATGGCTCGGTTTTTGCATTCAACATGGGTGCCGGCCTGCCTTCTCGGATTCAGGCACTCCACACAGGCCTGGGGAAGGGAGGATATGAAGCCAGGCTGTGGGTGTCGACCTTGAAAAGTGGCAGGTTTTTTGTTGGACTCCACCACTTGGTCTCCAATTTTGAAGGCATCGGCGTCCTTTTTGATTGGTTTGGTTGGAAAGCGGGCGATTCCTGGTTTACCTTCTTGGCCTTCTTCTTTTTCTCCTTTTCCGGCTTCTCATCAACCGAGGCCAGAAACACACTGGTGGCAGTGGCCCGGTTCGTCGCTTCTCGTTGTTCAAACTCAAGCACGACCCTGTGGTTCAATCATCTACCAGGGCCATCTATTTTCCAAAAAGGACACCTACGTTTGAAGGGGATCGACTCTGAAGGTCGAAACATGGTCCTTCAATTTGACTTTTTCGGATTTTGAAAAGTTGCAGGTTTTTGTTGGACTCCACTTGGTCTCTTCGCCAGCGACATCCCCGACCTGTGGCCGAACCGGTGGCCACTCTTGGCCGAAACCCTCCAGGCGTATGTCCATCTTCGCGTCTGTGGCGCCATCGGCTGCGCCAAGGAGCACAGCTCACCGATCTCACTGCACGCTCCGTCGGAAAACCCCAAGCCAATGGGATTCACCTAGGTCCTCCAGCTAGGTGCCCTTTTACCGTTTCCTTTTTTTCGGGGAGGGCTCCCCTACTAAAATAGGCTACAGAAAAGCGTAGCCTGGTACCCTTATTCTAGCCTCTCTACTGGACCTAGCTTAACCCAGCGATAAGCCAAAAAGCTTCCCAGGTCCGATGGCAACAGCATGCACTCGCTTTTTTGAGTCCTGTGAGCCTTTTGCAGGACTTCTTGTCAATGGCTGCGGCAATCAGCCGTACTCAGCCAAGGCTTGCCTGCCCAGCTCGTATGGCTCTGTTGGCCGTCTATCTGAGTGTTGTTTTTTCCAGAACCTGGCAATGCGCAGATTGTGAGCGCAATGTGGTTGGCACAAGCCCTCCGAAGATCAGACTCCAGACACGATCACCACTTGGCATTTCCCTTTGGCATTTCAGGAACTTTGCGCCGGCTTTCTGGACGGCGAGCTATGGCTTGCTGCTTTGGGGCCGGGCAAGGCAGCTGCGGCCGAGCCTGGCGCGGGCACCTACGATTGGTGAGCGCGCCTCACGGGGTGAGTCGTCGAGCGACGGAATCCGAGAGGTGGGTTTGTCTTCTTTTGAGGCACCCCCTTTTGGTTGGTTTTGAAGGGACACCAACCGGAAGCCCAGCATTTTGGGGGGTCCACTCACATGGCCCATGTCTTCCACACGCCGAGCCGGGCCGCAAGGAGCTGGCGTTGCGGAAGCGCCTCATCCGAGCCAAGTGGCCCGTTGAGGCGCGCAGATTTACGCCAGCGACATTTTGGAGCGCGCATGGGGCAATTCGTTTCTGTGGACCTGCTGAAATGTTTGCTCAGCCATGTAATCTTTGGATTGGATGATTAGTAGGTGATCTTGAATTTTCATATTGAGAGTGCAAAAAGGGAGCACTAGCTGATGCTTGCCACTGCGGGCAGTTGAATCACTTGGGTCACTTGGGTTGGTTGGTTGGCTTGCCATGTGGCGTTATCCGAGTGAGGCAGTGAGGCAAGTGGCAGACATTGCACGCCTGCCGCAGAGTAAGTACTTGATCGTTGCTTACCGAGCTAGCCAGCTGCCTTTCTCCTGCACAGGAATTTCAAGAGTCAGAGGAAGAAGAGTATGAGGAAAGTTCTGATGATGAAGAGGACCTCTCCAGGGCAATTAATGTCTATATTTCTTTCTTTGTATTCCCGTCCGTCACGCTTACAAGGAGGCGAGCGAAGATGTTCTGGAAGAGAAGCCCGTACCACAATTCGCCATCTACGGCCCACGGCTGGTGCCGCTGGCTGAGGCGGAGAGTTTTGCTCAGTGCTTTGCCATGCATCCAATGCCCCCGGGAGGTGCTGCGGCTCACCTGGGCGCAGGGCCCTGCTGGAGAGCCGCATTTGCCTAAGAGTCGATGGGTCTCAGGGAGGCCACTGGCGAGTCATGAGGGCCGAGGGCCTATTGCCCCCGCTACAAAAGCGGTAAAGTGCTTTTATGTTTTTTTTTTGGGGGGGGACCAGGGGCCAATGAGGGGCTCTTGCGGTCACAAAGCAGCGATCGCGATTAGAAGCAAGCTTTCTAACACCATTGTCTGTGACCTGTGGTTGGATCAGGTCATGGCTTTGAATGATGGCGATATGGCTGTGGGTCAACACCAATGGTACCATGTAGGTGCACCACCCATTTTCGTCTATTTTTGTGGGGATTGGGATGTTCACCGGGGGTACGATTTGGCTTTTGACGCGTGGCCGTATGATTGAGGCAACGCGTTGGCCGTCCAAGAACCGGCGCTCAGGTCAAAACGCGTGACGGTGAAGGAGGGCGAGCAGCCAGTTCCTGCGGGCCCTGCCTGGCCCGCCAGTTTCGGTGCTAGGTATTGCTTTGGATTTTTCGAGCTCCTGGCTGCCTGATTTAGGGAAGACAAATGCAAGCACAAGGGGTCAGCGCTTATTAGAGTCTTGCACGAGCACAGTTCCCAAAGCTGCAGGTGCATAGCTTGAGGCCATTTCACGCGCAAAGCGAGGTCAACATGCTGCGAACTGAGATTGTTTGTCCCGGGCTGAGTCCGATCATACCGCACAGTGGCATGGAGCCCGCAGATGCTTGACGCAGAGGCCGGAACATGGAGTCGCTCTTGGCTGCATACAAAGTCTTGACAGAAGACCCTGAGGAGGCACCGAAGCCTTGTACTTGACATGCGGCTGTAGTTGATTTCTTTTTTTTGTAACTACATGCCATGGCAATTTTGGGAAACATGTTTCTGGCAGGATGACATCCCCAAAACCAAAGAAGAGCTGTCTCTCGAAGAGATTTCAGTGGAAGTGGAGGACGCGGCCTGCCCACAGAGCCTTGCTGCTGACTTGTGAGACGTTGCTATCAGGAAGCTGAGGAGGAGGAGGAGGAGGAAGAGGATGAGGAAGGACAGGCGACGCTAAAAGAGGAGGATGACGAGGAGGGCAGCCTTCTACCAACAGAATCAGCAGCAGGGGCCCTTGGATCATGGCTATGCGGCTATGCCTCTATTCCTATGGTTTTTGCTTGCCAGCGAAACGTGTACTTGCGACCAAGGCAGCTTCTTCCGAACCAGACATCTTCTCCCGAGCGGAGTTGCACGTACAGCGCCGGCAGCTTACCGATTGAGTTCGTGTTATGTGCTTGCACGCCACACGCAGATGTTCGAGGTCGAGCGCCTTTGGGGCAGCCAGCCAAGATCCGCTTGGCTCAAGCCTCGGAATGAGATGCCAACAGCATGCATTGATCCTTGTTAGCTTGAATGCGGCGGGTGAGGTGCATTCTTGCATCCTCTTGCTACCCTTAGGCTTTCATTCAGCAGCCCTGTTAAGCACATGGCTAGGTCAAAGTCTTCAACGGCTTCCACCCAGACAATGCCAAAACGATTTTCCCGCAGGCAGGGCCACGCTGCCCTCCTTGGCTCTTGACACCATTCCGCCGCAAATATGATCCCTTGCGCCTGTTCCCATCTTTTGCCTGGGGGGCAAACATGCGTGGCTATGCCTATAGCCTCTGCAGGCTGCTGGCGTCCGACTTTTGCTGCATGTGTCTGCTCGAAAGAGCGCAAATGCGCACAAGGGCCATGGCGAGAAGGACAGCAATGGGGGGGAGAGGATGGGCAACTGAGACTTTTGCATTTTGCGAATCTGATTGTGCGACGAGGCCTTCTTAGAGGTTATCAATGTCCTGGTTGTTGTTGGGAAGCATTTTACATTTTTACTTATTGTGGTTTAGTGGGACATCTCCACTTAGCTTCTGAAGTTTAAACTTTTGCTCCCCTCCCAACGTCAACCAAGTTGTGACCAACTCTTCCTGCTTCGAGATGGGCCCTTCAAAAGCCCAGGAGTCTGACTGGGTGGAGCCCCTGGTGGACGACACAGACCTGGTTCAACAGTTGGTGGAGGTGCCGTGGCATTGGAGGAAGCCGACGGCCGGCGGCTGGCGGAGTTTGCGGGTTTGGCAGGTGGAGCTGTTGCTGGATTCCACGGTGGAGGCTCGGTGGCTCACCAACTTTACACAGCTTGAACCTGGTTGGCGCGGGGGCCCAGTGGGTTGCAACGGCAGAGCATGGCACGGTTGTTCTTTCTTTCTTTTTTGGGTGTTGCGTATGCAATTGCAGTGGTGAGCTTGGTCTGAACTTGTCCGCCTTGAATCTATTTGTGAGTTGCCATGTGCGTCACTTGGTGCTCCAGCGCGGCTTCCCTTTCCAGCAAGCGGCGCAGACCGCTTGCCACCTGATAGGCCGGCGGGCCGTTTGGGCCTCACGGAGCGCCATGGGCTGCTGCCAGGGCCTTCCAAAAGCTCCCAGTGTGCCGCTGCTTGAGCTGCAAACTGGGGATTTGCTGCTGAGCAGCGAGCCGCTGTGTTCAAGCCCTTTCGGCGGCAAGCTGGAACTGAGACGGAATATGGGCGCATCTGAAATTTCCGCACGACTTTTGTTTTGTTTTGGTTGGCTGAACCGATTGGCCAGTGTGGTTCACCTAGATCTTTCAAGGTTTTTTGCCCGAGGTGTTTTGCCTTGCGGCACAAAAACGGAAGGTCGACCCAGCATTCATAACAGCGCGCGACCACTGCCTTAGCGCTTCTACCAGTTCTTGTTTGGTGGCTCTGGGTTGTGAATATGTTCGACGGGCCGCAGGCTGCTATTGTGCCGTGGCGCTCTGTGTAGTTGCATCCGGGCACCCTATTCTGCAAGTATGAGGTGCTGGCGCTTTCTTCATGCGCGGTTGCTTGCGTATGAAGGACGGGTCCTCCCTTGTCTCTTTGACAGCTTGACATGTGCATAGTTGGTCGACAGCTCATAGTCGGCATGCAAATATTATGCCCATGGCAGTAAAGAAAACCCATGATACCAAGCACACTTTTGACTGCGAAATGCTTCTTGTTTTCTTCTCGCAGCTTGCTGACGTTCGCGAAACGGCGAAACAGGTTCATCACATCGGCATTGTGTTGAACCCGGCGGACTTCGGTGAGGAATCGCAGGTGCGCCAGGCAATGCCGGAAATAGATTTGAAGAAGATGTGCCGTGGATGTAATGGATGCCCACGTGTCTTAGGAAAATATTTGCCTGTGAAAGGATGCGAAACGGCTCATCTCGGCATGGATGTTGCACACTTGGTTGCCCACTAGCTCAGCCACACCTGTGTGGAGTGCAATTGTGCCGAGGTATGTCTTCCATGCCTTGGAAATTGGCATGAGAATCTGGGACCTGGAGCGCTATGTCAATCGCATTCATCAAGGCTGCCGTCCTGGTGAGGCTTATGCCAGGCAACTCCAGTGGTCCGATGCAGAGCTCCTGGGCTGGATATTGCCGGCGAGGGAGCAACTTCTGTTCCATGTCGCGTGTGGCGTGCTATGCGTGTGGGTCACAAATAGGGTAACCCCAAAATGGAACCCTGGCAAGTGGAAACATGGACTAAAACCTGCGGTTCCTTGGTGGTTTTATTTGGACCCCTACCCACATGCTAATATGGGAGGGGAAGATCTTTTGGTCCTGGCGTTGCCTGCACGAAAGCTTCGTGATGGAGCTTGCAAAAGTTGTGTTGCGAATTTCGTGTTTCTCGCAGGTCTGTGAGGGTGGTTGCTGTAAGGAAGATGGAATGTTGGCCGTGTATTTGCCGGGAGTGTGCACGGAGTGCACACAGACTACAGTTGAAGAACACGTCGCTGCAAAAGCACCCCCCCGACATGAGCAACGGAATCTTGAGCAAACAAACTTGACTCAAGCAAAGGCAATTTGAGAGGTTGTGTGCCACTGGCCTGCCTCGTTTGCCGGGTTTTGTCCTGCCGGCCTGCACGAAGCATTGTGCGGGAACTGCAGTGGATAGTTTGCGTTCTTGCCCCGGACGTGCTTTGTTTTTGCGCTACCACCTGCCACCCTTGCCTTGCGAACCTTGTCAGGCTGCGCTCAAATTTTACCCCGGTGCTGGACACTGCATTCGGGGAGTTCAAGGATCGCCCATATGAGAAGAACAAGCTGACGCCGGTTGCCGCCTTTTGTGACAAGGCTTGCTGTGCCATGCTGAGTGAAATCTCCTTGGTCCTCACTTCCTCACTGTCTTTGACTTTGCCGAAGGCAGAATGCTGCGGATGCTGCGTCTCAAAGGCCGACACCTCTAGCATATTTTGCTCCGAGCTGATTGCAGAGATTCTTCAACGAGGCGTGGTGTTGGTACCAGCTCAGGTGTGTTCTCCGCCTGTTACTGATGTAGCTGTGGGTGCGGGTGGGTGCATTTGTGTGTCTGCTTGTTTGTTTGTTTGTTTGTTTGTTTGTTTGTTTGTTTGTTTGTTTGGTTGGTTTTTTGGTTGGTTGGTTGGTTGGTTGGTTTGTTTTTTTGTTTGTTTGTCTGTCTTTTTGCTTGTTTGTTTGTTTGTTCGTTGGTTCGTGTTTGTTTGCTTGCTTGTCTGCTCGTTTCGTCGATGTTGTGTCTCATTGTATCGTGGACAGCGAGGCAAAGTCCTGGACAATCAGCGGCCCTCCTCGGAATTCACTCCCCTGGATTTCTTTGAAAGCGATGGGCGGCGAGTGGAAATGGCCCAGATGCATGAGGCAGTAGAGCTAGGACCCCTCAGGCGCATCCAGGTCTAGATCTCCGCATAGATGGCTCCCTGTGCCAATGTGTACTTGAGAGCCTTGGCAGAGATGGCCCAGCGGCTCGCGCCAAAGAGTGAACTGCATCGCTTGCAGTCCGACACTGCCAGACATTCGCCGCATCTTTCCGGGCAGAAGATGAATAGAACCTGCAGAATGTGAGAACACAAGTGTCAGTAGCATGCAGGCACAAGGAGCAAGAGCCCCTCCAACATCCTCCAACCATCCAACCCCATGCCTACACCATCGGCTGCTTGTGAATGTGCTTTGCTTTGGTCAAGTGCTTTTCAAAAAAGGCCTTGCTTACGTGTCTTGAAGCCAGCAGGCAAGACGTCCAGTTTGGATTAGGATCCCCTCAAACACCCAAACCAACCGCTTCAATGCGCGCGGCCCAACATGAAGCGGAAGCGCGAGGCCGATGCCGAAAGACAGGCTGAGAGCTGACCGTGTCATTTCATGCACCATGGGCACTCTCAGCTTGGCGCAGCCCTGAGAAGCGGCCACGATTCGCAGGGCTTGCGCGGGGTGCGGTACTTCGTCCTGGATGAAGCGGACCGAATGCTGGACATGGGCTTCATACCTCAGGTGCGCGCCGCTGGGCTGCAAGCGTTCGCCCGAGAACTGGCTTTGATGTCAGATTTGGCGGTGGCTCAAAAAAGTGGTACCAAAAGGGCACCTTGGTGAATGGAACCAAAGCCTAAAACCTGCGTAACCCTAGCTCTTTAATTTTGAGCCGTACCCATTTGCGGAAAATTGACCCAGGAGATTGTCGGCCTCATGGGGCCCAAACGGTTGCGGCAGAGCCTCCTGTTTTCGGCCACATGGCCGGCGGCGGTGCATAGCTTGGCTGGCCGCTTGGCAGCAGAACCAGCCAAGATCAGGTGAAAAGGGTGCACCGAGCCTGGTCCGGTCGCACGTGTTTTTTTTTTCGCGAGTGGCCGAGGAGAGTTCCTGGGCGAGCTGCTAGCTTATTTGTTCCTTGAGCGTCAAAGCGGAGTGCAGATACGCCGCTTAGGTCGCCTGTGCGCATCTCCATCGCCGCCTTTCTGCGAGTTTGTTGGCATGTTGTCATCCAAATGACATCCTGCTGCGTGGGCTCTCGCTTAGGACCAGGAGTCCGATCAGCCCAGTGCCAACACCAACGTTGACCAGTTTGTGGAGGTGGTCCGCACCTGGGCCGCACCTTCTCCCGATCAAGGAGCCGCTTCCTTCCTGCTTCGCGGCGGGCCAGGTGAGAGCAAGAAGGAGGCCCGCTTGCTGGAACTGCTGCGAGAACCGAGCGGGAAGACCGGGAAGACGCTCATTTTCGTTAACACGAAGAAAGGCTCGCAAGCTCGGGCAAAAACCCGAGCATTATGGCTCTTCTTCACGCAGCGCCTGCTGCATGTTTTCACGTGTGACTCGCTCTGGCTTGCATGCCGCACTGTTCTGTGACTGCCAAGAGTTGAGACGAGCTGTCGCCTGTTTCACATGTGGGCACGCAGCCCTGCAGGCTGCGCGCTCCTTGCTGACCGCCTGCGCCGTGCAAGCATAGCGGCTTGGCTGCAAGCCTGGCTGTTGCATGCCGCTTCTGGATTGAAGGCTGACACATGCTGCCGTGTGCATCCGCAGACATCCGTATTGTGCATCCATACTCGTCCAGATGCTACCTCATTGGAAACAGTGAGGTGCCATGCGGCGAAATCCATGGCAACCTCGCCCAGGCAGAGCGGGCTGCAGCTCTGGAGGAGTCTTCCCCTGTCCGTGCAGGGAGCACACACAGCCTTTGGAGACTGATTGCCAGCCATGGCGCAGCTTTTGCCGAGCAGTTGTTTAACGTTTGACAATGCGATGAGGAGTTCACCCGTGGCGCGACCAAGACTTTGGTGGCTACGGACGTTGCCGCGCGCGGTCTTGACGTGGAAGACATCACGCTGGTGGTTTGCCACCTGGCGACTCATGGCGGTTCAGCAGATTTCCAGCTGTGGGCCGCTTCATTCGCGGCCGAGGTTATGACTTTCCAGACTCGATGGCGGGCTGCCTGTCTGAATGATCGCCCTTCAACCTGCTGGGAATGAGGGAATGAGGGAATGGCCCCTAAAACAATTTCCTATGGGTTTCTTTAAGGGAAACCCCTTCCGGTTTGTTCCCAACACCCGGACCGGTTATTCCCTACCCATCGCACCTGCAAGTCAATCCATGGAAACCCGACTGTCAGAAGTCCAAAGGAGGGCGAGCCAAGGTGGCATGGAGGACTACGTGCATCGCATTGGCCGAACTGGTCGGGCAGGCCGGAAAGGCACTGCAGCGCCTTGGCTGAAGAGGCAGCGGTCATCCAAATTGAAGAAGCAACCATTCACCCCGCGAGTTACAAATAGACCACAGGCATTCAGGCAGGCGTGCAGCTTCTGAATTCAACCCCGCGCTTGATGGTTGTTGGTGGCCCGTGGGACACGCCCTTGCCGTGGAAGGTCACCTTCTTTCCTGCTCCCGAAGACGTGTCCGGGAGTCGGTCAGCAGGTCCCTCGGCATTCAGGGGATGGATCCTGGCCAACTCGCTTGACGCAAGGCAGGCCGCCTGTGGAGTTTGTACCATGCATTAAACAGATGCAAACGCTGCGCGTTGTCGCGCTGTCCCCCTCGACCAGGCTCAAAAGAACCACAAGAGCAATGCGGGCTTGAACAAATGCCGGGGTTGGGCTGAGCAGTCGCAGTCTGGCGGGCCGCGCAATGTGATTGCCAGCCGGCCAACGAGGTGGCTGGAGCTGGAATGGGCATGTCGGGCTCAAGGGCCAGGAGGAGCAGGGCTTGAACTAGCTCAGCACTAAATACGGATCTGACCGCCTCCGGCCCATGAGGGCCAAGGCAAACATGGCACGATAACCAGCGCGAGCTTTCAACTTTTGCTAACCGCTGCTGTCTGCAAGTTTGAGCAGAAGATGCAGAAACAAGCCAGTTGCTCCAAGAGCATGGACATTTTTGTCGATGTTCTAGCGGCCTGATGTTGTCTAGTCTTTCATTGGGACAAGACCAGGCTATCTGCCTGCCTGACTGGAGCTCGCAGCTGCTGCAAACGTGTGTCTGCTCCAAGTATGCTAGGCAACGCCCATGACCTGATCAAGTTGCTGCGGGCAGCTGGACAGCCTGTGCCAAAGGAGCTGGCTGTGTTCCTTGACCAGGTTGGCGCATTCTGTGTTTGGGTGCTAGGTAATCGGCGGGTAACGGAGGGGGCGCCAGTGCAAAGAGCTTTTCTGGGGTGGGCAAAGAAGCGATCATGATTTTTGGGCCTAGGTTGCAGTGTCACTGGGCATGCAATGAACAAGCAACGGATGGCAATTCCAGTCCAGCTGTGTACCTTGCGTGCATCTGAAGGCTCGACCATGGCCCAGTAACATCAAGCGTGGCAGCCCGAGTTGGAAAGAGACGTGACTGCACACTTGCCCATCATGGGTGATTGTGTTCTTCTTTTGTTTTTCTGTTTTTGTTGGGGGCAGGCGTGCAACATTACGATGTTGAAGGCTTTTCCCAGCCATTCGAGAAGGTGAAACTGGAAGTCAATGCATCACCATGTCACCAACGTGGATGCGCATAGAAAATGATACTGCCGCTTCTCATGTTGCGCAACTAGATAAGACACTGTTGACCAGACGCATCCAAGAAGGTAGGCTGTTGCGCAATGACAGGCCAAGGATGCCTTTGGTGGAGCCGAACCCCGTGACAAAGTCATGTTGGTGTGGTTTGTCACTTTGTCTGCGGCAATGCCAGCATCGTGCTTTGGACACTCACATTGCCAGCCGAGGAAGGGTGACGAACTTAGCTGAAGTACCTTGCAGAGGGTTGTGCTTGTTTGTCGCTTTGTTTGCGTGTGTGTGTGTCGTTTGATACGTCGTTTGATCCATGTAGTGCAACGCTACTCCCAGGCGGCAAGGGTCTGCAGAAAGGCAAGCCTGGAAAGCAAGGTCCGCAAGTCGAGGCTGCAAAGTGCAACGCCCTTAGGCGCAGTTGAAGGATCGTGCAAATCATGTGTCCACCACATGCTCGCAGAGAGGCAATGAGAAAGCAGCAGACTCTGAAAGCTTCAGCCAAGCAAGCACACCGAGGTACAAATGAAGACGGTGTCAGCATTGTGGGCTTTCCGAGTAAAGTGGCCCCAGTTCATAGCTTCAAGGACGCAGCTTGTCAGAGACGTGTGATTGCCAGTGGGTCATGGCATGCTTTGCTGCTTACATGGCCTGGGTTGCAGAAGCGTTGTAGTTCGATACGGGTGCGAACCACTTGCAGGAAGCGCCGTTCAACAAAGATTTGCGGAGAGAGCTGAAGGCCACTGGATTTCAGCGACCTACTCCCATTCAGGCGCGCACGTCGATCCTTTGCCCCTTCACGTCGCACTTGATATAGTTTCGAAAGGCATATGGCTGGCCTGTTGCGCTTAGTGGAGTCGACTGCATCGGCATTGCAAAGAGTCTCAGCTTGACAAGTTGCTGACGAGGAGTGAACAGGGAGGACAGACAGCTAGAGAGAGAGAGAGGCATTTTCTGCACTATATCCAGACTTCAACCTGGAAACGGGCCTGTGCAAAGACTTTACTACGCGCAGATTTGCGCGTGAGAGTGACGATAGCTTCAGCCCGCAGAGCATTTTGACAAAAGACTCAGGACAGGGTCTGGAAAGACGCTGGCCTTCCTGCTGCCCGGATGGATTGCAATGACTGGCCCAAAGCCTCAGCTTTGACTCATGTCACGCACCTAGGCTACCTGCACTGAACCATATTCCGGCTTGGTTGGACGAGGAGCGAGAAGGTTCAGTTTGCAGTGAAGGGTGTGACAGGAAGGAATTCTGAATGGCCAAAGAATCTGGCAGGGGAGGGCTTCCAGGTAGGCAGGGAGCAGATGAGTTTGGTTGGTTGATGTGATACTTGTATGCTTGCTGTTGTGGCCAGTCTCGGATAAATGACGCCTGAGCAACGTGCGACAAATCAGGGAAAAAAGGGATGCGGCATGATACCCTTGATTTTGCCAGGAAGCCTCCGGCAACGGGCCCCTCGCGCTAGTCGCAGCTTGATTTGCAAATGACAAGCAGTGGTGAGGAAGTATGGGTGAATCTCAAAATTGGGGGCCCCATTCAGGTTGGTGGTTTCCTTTTGGTTTTCTTTTGAAACCATCCAAAAAAGGCCCCCCTCCTATTTTGAGACACGCTGGCTTTGAGCTTTTAGGTTGCACCAACCCGTGAGCTTGCTGCTCAGACGTACCGTGAAGCACCAGGGCTGCAGACGAGTTGGCCAAGGTTTGACAGACATCCCCTGTTCTTAAGGCACATCGTTTTGCAGGAGTCGCCCGCGTCGTGCGCCCGGAAAGCGATGCCCACGGCAACTGTCCGCATGAGCTTCGGCATGCTCAGCCGCCCCACGAAGGAGACGCGTCCGGCCAAGGTGTGCCTCGTGCATGGCGGAACCGCCTGGGAGCCGCAGGCAGCTGCACTGGAGGCCTGGCAAAGCCCCGAAGTCGGTCCTCGCAGTGCGTTTCCCTTCTCCCGGCACCGCGAGGCCGGTGCAGAGCTGGTAGTGGCGACGCCCGGGCGGCGCCTTGGGCTGAATATAGCAGTATAGATTCAAGTGGGGCCGCCAAAGCGGCCCCATTTGGCTGCACTTCCGTTGCAGGCTGGCTTTTCTCATGGCACGGGGTGGCGAAGCAGCGGCCAACACTGCGAGGCACTAAGTGCTATCTAAGTGCTAGTGCTGGACAACCTTGGCCATCCGAACACAGGGGACGCTTGCCAGTTACCCCAATCCAGTTGGTGTTTTTTGCTGCGCTTCACCTCCCAGGCTCGAGAGATTGCTGCCTGTGGTGCGAGATACTTTGTGAAAGAAGCGGTACTGAATCAGAGGCAAGTGTTGTGATCGCTTTTGTCCATTTGTCCTTAAGGAAAGCAACTTGCGGAAGCGCTTGCAGCCTTTGACCGCTTCATTTCGAATGGTGGGACTGCTACTCGTCACATTTACTCTACGCTTTTGATGCCCGGCTTGCACAGAGGGGCGAGACGGTCCGAGTTTCGACGGGCAGAGGAGCTGAAGCAGGCCTTTTGAAGCCGAGGAATGCGCATGTTCTTTGTGGTGACTTGCCTGGTGCATTGAAGGCCCGCGTCAATTGCATCAATTGCGGACCCGCACACACACACACGCACACTGTAGCGCCAGCTATGGCTGATGCTGCACCTTCCAAAAGGCTTTTGCCGTCCATTGTTGAAATTGATATGCTCTTTGGTGGGGCCTGCCCGCCAGCTCGCCCGCCAGCTCGCCCGCCGGCTGACAGCCTGTAGGTCTCCCAGAGGATGCAGGACGCCGGCCTACCCTTGGGTGTGGTTGAGCCACTTGGGCTGAAAAATTGGATAGGATAAGGAGGGAAGCAGGCTGCATGGGCCCGATTTTGACAGAAGACTTGCCCCTTGTGCTGCTTTTGTCGGACCTGTAAGCGCTGAAGGCCAGGAGTGTCCACATGAGGTCCACGTGGCCACTGGGCCACTTGGTCCATTTGTTGTTGGGGCAAGTTTCCCTAGCACGGAAGCTAAAGGGCGGAAATTGTGCATGTCGCTGACAGCAGACTGTTGCCACCTGCCCTTGAAGCGAATTGGTCCACCCCCAATGAAGCCAACTTGTTCTCATTGCCAGTTACCCTGGAGTTTTTTTGTTCAACTGGCTTTTCAGCGCACACCCCAACAAACAGTGCAGCGCACATTCGCTGTCCGCTTGGCCACCTGCACGTGATCTTGGCCACAAATGGCCGCCAGTGGACCCAAACGGTCACAGCGGGCTGTGCCGCACCCGGGCCTGCGCCCTTTGAGCTGTGAAACTTCAATGGTTCAGGCGTCACCTTGAAGGACTGTGACACGTTTCGGCGTCCGCGAAAAATGGGGTTCGAGAGCTGGCGCAACATTCCCTGCGACTCCGAGTGAGTCGAGGTACACCACATTGCTAAAAGGGCACCTCGCAGCTGGCAACATCACGGAGGCCTGGAAACTCATTGACACCATGACGGAGGTTGCCCGGCAAGTGACCACTCGGCACCGTCAGTACATTGATTGAAACACATGTATATATATATATATATATATGTATGTATGTATGTATGTATGTATGTATGTATGTATGTATGTATGTATGTATGTATGTATGTATGTATGTATGTATGTATGTATGTATATTTATTTATTACTAGACATAGGTTTGTGAGCAGCCCAAACAGTACGGGGATTCTTTATACTCACCAGGGCCAAAGATCCAGCTGAGCATCTTGTTGGTTTCCTGCCCCATGCCGAGCAAGCCGAATGGTGGATACGCTCACCGGTCAATTGTTTTAGACTGAGACCTGGGTGTCAAAATTGTGGGTTTCTTGGTGTTTTCCCTTGAAAACCGGAAACTAGTCCAACAAGGGTACCCACAAAAAACGAGAGGTTTATCTTTGTTTTTGTACTAGGTGTTTGGAGGGCTTCCAGCTACAATGAGCAGCCCGGAAGTGTGTGATGAGCCTAGGCTTGGGTCATGCCGGACCTCCGCACAGCCAACACCTTCCTCCGTGGCTGTGTGAAGTTGGGCGCTTTGTCACACTGCGAGGAGCCCGCTGATCCTTGATGATCTCAGTTGTCCAAAGCCGACCTTTTGACCTTTTGGTTTTCCTTTTTTGGTCCATTTTTAGTAGAGGTGCCAAAAGGAAAACCTTTTAGTTCTGGGTCCTTGGGGCAACTGAGTGAGTGGCTCGTAGTCACAAGATCCGCATGTCAATAGGTCCGTGTGTGTGTGTGTGTGTGTGTGTGTGTGCGGAGTGACAGAATGCCCTGTCACCACCCTTTCTATTTCGCAGCAGGGGCGTGCAGCACCTTTGGCATACTGCACGCAATGAAGCTACTGCCAAAGGTGGGAAGGGTGTCCAGACGTGGACACCTGTACCTGCGTCGTGATGTTGCTGAAAGTCCTTTTGGTCCCCTCCCTGAACCGCCGTTGTTTTGTGTTTCCCTGTTAAAGTACCTACAGGGAAGCCAAGTGCATTGCGAGCCGAAACTCATCGTACTCGAGACTTGTCGGTTGTACTCGAGACTCATCAGTTGTACTCGAAAGATTAGCACACTCCATCTGGAGTTCAAGTGTGTACACCCCATTCGTGGGGAATCCTCGGGTGTACCCATTGTGTGACCCCGGGCCGGCTCTGTCGGAAAATTTGACCTCAACGTGCGTATCATAGAACAGCGGAATTTCACATTTAACCAGGAACGAGGTTTCACTAAAGGGAAGACAGCTGTCAGATCATAGTGACGTCTCACCATAGCTGCTGAAGGCTGCTGACTTGAATCGCATTGGCTTGCATTTTGTTGAATTCGTTGCTCTTACCATAGCTGCTGATGGCTGCTGACTTGAACTTGCATTGACCTGCATTTTGTCGGATTCGTTTCTATCACCATTGCTGCTGATGGCCGCTGACTTGAACTTGCATTGACTTGCTACTGATCGCCGCTGACTTGAACTTGCATTGACTTGCATTTTGTCGGATTCGTTTCTCTCAAGGTGGAAGTGTGCAAATTCCGATTTAGTTGCGTCACCATGTCTCGACGTGATGATCGTGACAGATCCAGGACTCGACGCAGACGTGATCGGAGTCCTTCCCCTCAAGCTCGTAAAGCACACCGACGCGAACACAATGACAACCAGGTCTCGGAGAACATGGATTGGAACAACTTGGTTTCATGGCAACACAACTCCGGCTACAACGCTGCCAACAACTTTCCGATGGTGCCTACCAACTTTCAATCGACTCACAACCCCACACAGCAATTCCAATACCCGGCGATCAACTACATGATGCCGATTTCTCCTGAACCCACGCCATCCAAGTTCATGCCACCAATGATGCCACCACAGGTCACTACCTCCCAACCTACACCTACACCTTCACCTGGACCTCCTACAGCTCTACCGGTTCGTCCTCAGAAAGCCTGGCTTACTCCCTCGCCTGACTGGACACCTGCAGACGGCATGTTTGATGTCAACCAACTCTACAACTTTAGCCTGCCCATGACTGTTGCCAACACTCCACATGGCAACCTTCGCGACATGTCAGGCATGGATATTAGGGACGTACGCCTGGTTCAGGTTATCCACGGGGGCCTCACCAACTGGCTACTCAGGCCGTTTGCACACGGCCGATTCGTGACGTGGGAAGGCTTTCGCACTCGCACTGAGGCCTTACTTTGGAGTACATGCTCCAAATTACTACGAAGATCGCAGTCACTCAACCTGCTCACCCTGGAAAAGGACCTTGCCAACACGTTGGGTCTCAACATTGATGACTTCAATCAGCGCATCAAGGTCCACGACCATTTGGCCAACCTGGTACTTCAATTTCTTCAACAACATCACACCTCTCTCGCACCTGCTGCCCAGAATGATGACATGGTCAAGAAGTTCAATGATTTGAATCGTGCGCATGAACTTCTCCAAGCTCAGTATTCCGCATCACTTCGCGCATCGACCTCGCCCACGATGACAAATCAGAAAGATGATGCAGAGTTGGTTACACCGCCACCGGTCAACCACACACCATCCTCGTCACCTGCCAGCTCCCTTCCCACAGCCAGCGCGGCCGCCCTGGATGGCAAGTCGTTTGATAGCGTGGTGCAACCTCGGATCATGCAGTCTCTTCACGGAGTGTCGTCACCGCCGTCCAAACCGGCGGCGTCACAATTGCTCACCATGCACAGCACGCCGGATGAAGTTGTCAAGTACTACACATGGACCAGTGACCAACCTCGCCTTTTCCTCAAGCAAGCACCCACAACAACCACTTTGGCATCGCTGGTTAAGTGGGCCAATCACCCGTCCCGGCTCAACGGCAACAAGTCATTAGATTCTATGGCGACGCAGCTTCTTCAGGCCAGGCAGCGCATGCCGAAGGGCGATGCGCCCACACTCGGTGCAATGGCAGCATTATGGGGTCTTGAACCCGGGTACCTTACCAAACTCACCGAGAAGGCATTGAGTCACCTCATCGTGACCGCTCGCCTGCTTTGTGGATGAGAAGGCATCATTTCGACCTTCGATCTCATATGAGCCCGGAGCGGCAACAATGTCACGGATGAGTCCAGGTGAAAATTCGTCCGTCAAGTGTTTGCGTTGCACATGATTGATCTTGTACTTGCTTGTTCTTGCGTTGCCTCTTGTGTGATTGTCTGAGATGCTTGTATTTATGTCGCCGCCTTGTGGTAGATTTCGTTGGTTGCATCTCACCATGTTGGATGAACTTCGCCACTGCGGAATCTATGATGATGTTGCACAATGGCAGTCGCTGGACGACCTTCTGCACTCGTTGACTACATTCTCGACGTGCTGGCATTACTGTTTCCCTGGACTACCACCACCGTCGATTCCACTTGAGGAGTACGAATCCATCACACAATTGCCGTGGCTGGGTCTCATCCTCGAGGTCTTAGTTGTGGTCCGGATAGCCCTCCAGATTCCGAATTGCGCCATGTCCAACTCTCAGCACACCGTGGCCAACAGGTATGAACTTCACAGATGTCGGTGCGCTGCCTATTTATTGATCAGTTTCTTACAACGTCTCATTTCACAGGATCACGGCTACCTCCCGCCGTTCTTCGAAGTCCTTCACTTCTACAAGACTTCTCTCTTGTGTGAAATCATGCACTCGACTTTCGCTGACTCGCGACATCTACGCTCATTGCGGGCGCGATTTCCTGACCTCTACGACTTCATACATGATCCAGGTCATCACCAACAACCGTGCGTCTACATTCGACTTTCCCCATGGCACACACCATACTATGTTGGGGCGACTGATCAGGATGTTCTACGTCGTGAACACTCACGCAGTCGCAAATTTCTACAACTACTTCGTGGACGGCATGCCTTCTTTGAACCGGCGCTTCACTACTGGAAACGATCCAATACTTACTGGCTCTTCTGTGCTGTACCAGTGGAAATCAGACTTCCAGTTTCCTCGGTGTGGGTTCAAGAAAGCAAATGGCAATACCTGCTACGCCCGCATTTGAATGCGCCCTGGGTACACAGAATCTTGCGCAAGGTTGGCTTCCGGGAACATCTTGTAGATTTTCGACGCCACTCGTTGTCGACGCCCACTTCCATCGGCTTGCACAAGCGCTTTCGACGACGACTACATCCGGATCTCCAACGGCAACTACGACCTGACACCCTGGATGACATTCAAGCCCACTACTCGATCCTCTATCAGCTGGGATCGAATACAGGAGCGTCGTTCCAAGTCATGCGTGACCTACTGTCAGCCGCTTTCCCTCCCACTCAGCTGTACTACTTATTGCGGCTCGCAGTATTTGTCAACGAACCCTTCCGCTCCAAGGCCCAGAAGCTACTCGCCCAGGTACTGCGCAAACGACGGCTGCAACCACCCTCCACTCTGACACAGCTACTTTTGCCGCCGCTGCATGTCCAAAATTGGAAAGCGCTACTTGGCACATGGTTACAAAACTGGATTGCTTCCCATCGGGATCTGTTCCCTTCTCTTTTCATTCCAAAGATCCGGGTTGTGGAAACCCGCAGCGCCACATTGGGCGACAAGATATACAACTATCGCACATGGCAGCGTAAATGGACGCCTGACACATCCTTTCCGTGTCGCTGTTTAGACATCGATGACCACCATCTACTCCGTGCACATGGTCACGCAGTAATGGTGGATGACTTTTCTCGCATCAATGCGGACATTAACGTGGAGATCATGGCCGCCTCAATGAAGGATCAGTTTTTCGGTGATGTCGACCTATTGCATCAACGTTACACCACGCAACTTCGCAAACTTGCTCGACGCTGGCATGTACATGGTTCCGATCTACTTCCAGATCTACAACCGGTCGTGGCTCAGTTAATGGAGACCCATCGGATCAACCTCCAAGATCAGGCTTATTGGTCATCGGCATCGTTGCAACGCACTGTGGCCTCTTTGTCTTCTTGGGTAGTTATCCCAGCGGATCATTTTCCCTCCCGTGCACATGTAGTGTGCCCGTCCCTGTTTGCCATATTGATGCGGAAGACATTCTGCGCGGGGCTCACTTTGCCGCGAATCCGCAGCATCGTTTCGCTCTGAAGTGGTAACCACGGTACCTTCTCTCCTACGTCAACGATACGCATGGGGACTTCGACTTCAAGCACCGTTGCCCACAGCGCGCATCCTTCCAAAGCCGACCAAGGACTGGCAGAAAGCTCGACCCATCATTTCATTCTTTCGCACATGGGCGGCTCCCTTCCTCACGGTCTTCGGTGCGCTCATATTTGAACTCACCAAGGCAGCTTTCCCCGACATTGCAGGTCAACTTTCAGTACAAGAACTTATCCAGCAGCTATGGGAAGCACTGTCAAAAGCAGATCCTGATGAGTACATCCACCTGGTATCGCAAGACTTGTCAGGCTTCTTCACGTCCATTCCTACGGAACGTTTCCATCAGGCGCTTCAAGTGCTTCTACATCGCTATGATCAAGTTGTTGGCCTTCACGGTTCCTCGCAATGGTCCGTGTACGAAGTCAAGTCAGATCATCGACGCCGTATGTTCAAAGGAAAGTGGCGCCGTCAG